TAGCAGGGGCTAAAGATCTGAAGGCTTTTTTGTAAATTAAAGTTGGTATCTCCTCAAGGGCACCAGACTTGGTTTTAAGGGAAAGGATTATCTCATTGACGTCAGTGGAATTAATAGGCTTTAGGTACAGAGACTGTGGATAGTTACCTGTAAGATAGTCCTTAATGTCAGTACTGGAAGATGGAATATCATTTGCAAGGGATGAACCAATGGAAGAGAAGAACCTATTGAACTCAATCAGAACTCAATCAATCAGAATCAGAGGCTGAAAGCTGACCATCGTTATTAGACAGGAGAGTCGGTTTGTTATTTAAAGACTTCTTTGATCCCAATATTTGAGAAATTGTTCTCCAAGTTTGTTTAATGTTGCTCTTTATTTGGGTAAATTTATCTTCGTAGTATTTAGTTTTGGCTCGTCTAATTATCTTAGATAGCAATAATGAGTAATTCTTTGAGAATTCTTTGGAGACAATTCCTAACCTATACTTCTTCTCAAGGTCATGTTTTTTATTAATAGATTTAAGTATTCCCTTTGTAAGCCAGGGATTGTTAAGCCTTAAAGCCTTAAAAGCCTAAGCCTTAAAATGCATGATACATGGAAAAGAAACGACTTCTCTTACACTCATGGGGTGGGCGACCAGACCCCTAAGTTGAATTGTGATGGAAGACCGGGCTCGGTAGAATTTGCGACATTGGGCCCAGACCAGACTATTCCCCCCCCCCCCCCATGCTCCCATCCCTCCTCTGTGATAGGGTCGAGCCCCAAGCCCCCAGTGGTGACCATGCACCTCGTTCCCTGGCTCGGCTCAGTCTTTCATTATGACTACTGCTCCTGCTACCCCCTCTCTGGGGGTTCTCAACACTGACCTCGCCACGGCCGTACTCACACGATTCCCTCCTGTACTTATACGTACCACGCCTTGTTTGGTCCTGCTACGAGGACAAAATACTATCAAATCAAATAAAATCAAATGTTTATTCAGTTCAAGTACATACATACAAGGTAAGATACAATCATTGATGGATTTATAGAGCTAGTACATACAATGCCTAAAGCCACTATTATGCAAAATGTTTTGGGCAGGAAAAACACTGAGACTAAAACTTAATACTAATTGAGATTAAAGTATAAATTGTGTTGAAAAATAAAAAAAAGGAGGGGGGGAACATGGCAGAAAAATAGCAAATATACAATTTGGTCAACAAACAGCAATGTTTAAAATAGTAAAATGGCTTACAAAGGGAATACTTAAATCCATTAATAAAAAACATGACCCTGAGAAGAAGTATAGGTTAGGAACCGTCTCCAAAGAAGTCTCAAAGAATTACTCGTTATAGCTATCTACAATAATTAGACGAGCCAAAACTAAATACTACGAAGATAAATTTACCCAAATAAAGAGCAACATTAAAAAAAACTTGAAGCACAATTTCACAAATATTGGGATCAAAGAAGATTTTAATTAACAAACCAACACTTCTGTCCAATAACGATGGTCAGCTTTCAGCCTCTGATTCTGCTATTGAGTTCAATAGGTTCTTCTCTTCCATTGGGTCATCCCTTGCAAATGATATTCCATCTTCCAGTACTGATGTTAAGGACTATCTTACAGGTAACTATCCACAGTCTCTGTACCTAAAACCTACTAATTCCACTGACGTTAATGAGATAATCCTTTCCCTTAAAACCAAGTCTAGTGCCCTTGAGGAGATACCAACTTTAATTTACAAAAAAGCCTCCAGATCTTTAGCCCCTGCTATTGCATTGCTCTTCAACAAGTCACTTGAACTCCAAACCTTTCCAGATATTCTAAAAAAAAGCGAGAGTAACTCCTGTCCACAAATGTGGTGATCTCACAGATGTTAACAACTACAGACCTATATCAATCCTGCCTAACTTGTCAAAAATATTTGAAAAACTAATCTACAAGCAGCTTTACTCTTATCTAGCCAAACACAATATACTTAGCTGTTGTCAATATGGCTTCAGACCCAAAAAAAGCACTAACGATGCACTTATTAGTATGATTAACTTGATTCATGCAGCTCTTGATAAAAATGAGTTCCCTGTTGGGTTATTTGTGGACCTGCGTAAGGCTTTTGACACTGTCAACCACCAAAACCTTCTTCTTAAATTACATCATTATGGAGTCAGAGGACACTCCCTGCAATACTTCAAATCTTACCTTACTGACAGGCTCCAGTATGTTTCTGTGAATAATTCAATTTCTCCCACCCTACCCATCAACATTGGTGTTCCTCAGGGCAGCATACTTGGCCCTCTCCTCTTTCTCATCTACATTAATGACCTTCCAAATGCCTCCCAACACCTCAAACCCATTCTATTTGCTGACGACACAACCTTCATTTACTCCAGTCCTAACCCCCTTGCTCTAAATGCCACAGTAAATACTGAGCTAAATAAAGTCCATCTTTGGCTAACTGCCAACAAACTCACCCTTAACATTGACAAAACTTTAGTCGTCACATCAACAATGGGTTCGAGATCGACCACAAGTACAATTTCTAAATTAAGCAACTGACATATGTGGAGAGCTAGTGTCACAATTTATATGTTTGTACTGCACATCGCCCCCCATCCAGTGGGCAGCGGTGGATAGATTACAATCACTTAATTACTACCTACAGTTTGCATACGTACACGTAAACTTACTCTGAGTACGTCAGAGTGAGAAGAGAAGCAGAGAAAAGTTTTGAAAATGATATAGCAAACAAAGCCAAGACCGAACCAAAGCTACTCCACAGTCACATCAGAAGGAAAACAACAGTGAAAGAACAGGTATTGAAACTTAGAACAGGCGAGGACAGGTATACAGAGAATGACAGAGGTGTGTGAAGAACTCAACAAGAGGTTCCAGGAGGTCTTCACAATAGAACAAGGTGAGGTCACTGTGCTAGGAGAAAGGGAGGTAAACCAGGCGGCCTTGGAAGAGTTCGAAATTACGAGAGAGGAGGTCAAGAGACCTGCTGGATCTGGATGTTAGAAAGGCTGTTGGTCCAGACGGGATCTCACCATGGATACTGAAAGAGTGTGCAGAGGCACTTTGCTTGCCACTCTCCATAGTGTATAGTAAGTCACGGGAGACCTACCAGAAATATGGAAGACGGTGAATGTGGTCCAAATATACAAAAAGGGTGACAGGCAAGAGGCACTGAACTACAGGCCAGTGTCCTTGACTTGTATACCATGCAAGGTGATGGAGAATATCGTGAGAAAAAACCTGGTAACACATCTGGAGAGAAGGGACTTCGTGACAAATTGCCAACATGGGTTCAGGGAGGGTAAATCTTGCCTTACAGGCTTGATAGAATTCTACGATCAGGTGACAAAGATTAAGCAAGAAAGAGAGGGCTGGGTGGACTGCATTTTCTTGGATTGTCGGAAAGCCTTTGACACAGTACCGCATAAGAGGCTGGTACATAAGCTGGAGAGACAGGCAGGTGTAGCTGGTAAGGTGCTCCAGTGGATAAGGGAGTACCTAAGCAATAGGAAGCAGAGAGTTACGGTGAGGGGCGAGACCTCAGAGTGGCGTGAAGTCACCAGTGGAGTCCCACAGGGCTCTGTACTCGGTCCTATCTTGTTTCTGATGTATGTAAATGATCTCCCTGAGGGTATCGATTCATTTCTCTCAATGTTTGCGAACGATGCTAAAATTATGAGAAGGATTAAAACAGAAGAGGACTGCTTGAGGCTTCAAGAAGACCTAGACAAGCTGAAGGAATGGTCGAACAAATGGTTGTTAGAGTTTAACCCAACCATATGTAATGTAATGAAGATAGGTGTAGGGAGCAGGAGGCCAGATACACGGTATCATCTGGGAGATGAAATTCTTCAGGAGTCAGAGAAAGAAAAAGACTTGGGGGTTAATATCACGCCAGATCCCTGTCTCCCGCAGCACATATCAAGAGGATAACATCAGCGGCATATGCCAGGCTGGCCAACATACGAACGGCATTCAGAAACTTGTGTAAAGAATCATTCAGAACTTTGTATACTACATATGTCAGGCCAATCCTGGAGTATGCAGCCTCAGCATGGAGTCCATATCTAGTCAAGAATAAGACTAAACTGGAAAAGGTTCAAAGGTTTGCCACCAGACTAGTAGCCGAGCTGAGAGGTATGAGCTACGAGGAGAGACTACGGGAATTTAACCTCACTTCGCTGGAAGACAGAAGAGTTAGGGGGGACATGATCACCACATTCAAGATTCTGAAGGGAATTGATAGGGTAGATAAAGACAGGCTATTTAACACAAGGGGGCACACGCACAAGGGGACACAGGTGGAAACTGAGTGCCCAAATGAGCCACAGAGATATTAGAAAGAACTTTTTTTAGTGTCAGAGTGGTTGACAAATGGAATGTATTAGGAAGTGATGTGGTGGAGGCTGACTCCATACACAGTTTCAAATGTAGATATGATAGAGCCCAATAGGCTCAGGAATCTGTACACCTGTTGATTGACGGTTGAGAGGCGGGACCAAAGAGCCAGAGCTCAACCCCCGCAAACATAACTAGGTGAGTACATAGTTATGAACCGGCAATTGCACTACGGGACCATATTATAACCAAATTTTTTAGTGAACATGAAGACAGTATTAACATTTAAGTGGGGCTAAATAAATCATCACATAATCGTTATTATTTCTGACTGTCTTACAGTAATTAACAACAATTAGCTAGTTCTGGCCTTGATATTTTAATTTAGGTAAGTTGTGTCCACGATTCTGGTGTGTCATTTAACAGCGACTCACTGAGAGTCAGTCGACGAGTCGTAACTGTTCAGTCTCCACCAATGGCAATGCAGCTTCATACAAAACTGTGACGTGATTGGTGAGTAGCGTCTGCATGGCAAGTAAATATCGAGAGCCAGCATCACTACTTGTTACTGCTATCTCAGGAGTGTTGCCGGCGACCTGTGTGTAATGTAAGTCATATTTCCGCTGTAAAAGAAGGTTTACTGGTGGGTTGTTGGTACTGGTGAGGGAGGTAAGGTCGGGTGTGAGGGGCGGGGGAAGTGGTCAGTGTTGGAGGAGCAGCGTCGAGGAGCACTGACAGTGAGGACAAGTGTCACACTCCACCACCATGACGTTTGCCTCCTCAACACACCTGCTCACAACACTTCTGTAAGTCTCTTTCCACTACTTTCTTGCATTCAGTTTTTTTTACATAATTAGGAATTTACGTTGACTATAATTATATGTAAATAACAAGCCTTGTGTAAATAACAAGCACAAGGCTGGGCCTTATGTGGGGTTCACAGACTGGGTCCGTCTCTCTCTCTCCTGTCCTCACATAATTGTGCTTGCGGGGGTTGAGCTCTGGCTCTTTGGTCCCGCCTCTCAACTGTCAATCAACTGGTGTACAGGTTCCTGAGCCTATTGGGCTCTTATCATATCTACATTTGAAACTGTGTATGGAGTCAGCCTCCACCACATCACTTCCTAATGCATTCCATTTATTAACCACTCTGACACTGAAAAAATTCTTTCTAATGTCTCTGTGGCTCATGTGGGTACTAAGTTTCCACCTGTGTCCCCTTGTTCGTGTTCCACCCGTGCTGGAGAGTTTGTCTTTGTCCACCCTGTTAATTCCCCTGAGAATTTTGTAAATGGTTATCATGTCTCCCCTTACTCTTCTGTTTTCCAGGGATGTGAGGTTCAGCTCCTTTAGCCTTTCCTCGTAGCTCATACCTCTCAGTTCCGGGACGAGCCTGATGGCATACCGCTGAATCTTCTTTAACTTTGTCTTGTATTTAACTAGGTATGGACTCCAGGCTGGAGCTGCATATTCCAGGATTGGTCTGACATAAGTGGTAAACAGGATCCTGAACAATTCCTTACACAAGTTTCTAAAGGCAGTTCTTATGTTGGCTAGTCTAGCATATGCCGCTGATGATATCCTTTTGATGTGACTATGGGTCGCAACTGGGTTCTTTGATGGTACTGTAGAACCAAAATGATAGTGGCCGACCCCAAGTCGGTTGTACGCTTTCAAGAAAGTGGCTATGTAGTACATAAAAAAAGGAGGGAATGAACAAAACACTGTTCCTTCCGTCAATGTATTAAATATCTTTCCACCACCGTTAAGTATATATATATATGTACACCGTCACCATAAATAATATATAAAGAACAGATAGGCTATTTCTACACCTATGTACAATCCTTTCGCTCAGGATATCAAACGTGCTCACGTGCAGAGTTCATCAATCCCCAGTAGTTCTTCACTGCCCAGTAGTGTATCCAACCTTACTGGGAAGAACACCGGCGAGTTCACCTGGGCCAGCCCACTGACAGTGTCATGAAGTGCCTGTACCCCAACGACCACTCTCCAGCTACTCGCTGGCAGAGTACCTCAGCCACACGCTGAGCGGGATCACAATACAGGGGTCGCGATCCCCTGGCAGCAGTCTCTAGCGACCAGCTAGCAGCACTACTTAACAGGCACCTCCCTTTCGTCAGTCTCTTCCCTAAGCTAGTCCCAAAGGTACGCCAATCTTTTCAACACTAAAGCACTAGCAGCTACCACACTGCTTCATCGGCAGTGGCTTACTTGATCGTTTCCAGGACCATGTAGGGAGACTGGACTGCCCAAGATGAACTGCCGTCTGCAGTACCGCTGCCCCCCAGGCGTCACCTCTGTGGACACACAAAGTCATCAATGACCTAGCCAGTACTGGCAAAACTAGGAAATACCACTAACCCACTGGGGAGTTGACATTGTGCTCTGTAGCACACACTAGGTGGCGCTGGTCTTGATTCGCCACCTCACCAGAGGTCACTCACAACAACCCCTCTGGCTGACCAAGGCAGGAATCTTTAGCCATTTGCAAGTACTAGATAACCACCACCAGATGGCATTGTCCACATTACGTACTATTCCCCGGGAGTTTGGGTGCGGACTCTTAGATGGTGCTGGAACTGCCACTCTACCCCCCGACAAGGGCGATGAGTCCGTAACAGAGGCTCTGGGGACAGGTTCGGTGCGATATCAATCCCCAGATCTCTCTCTCTTTTTGACTTGCAGGATTTCACCTCCCTTTCACCTTTTCACCTTGTGTTCAGCCTCCTGCTCCCTTCGCCTAATTTCATTACCTTACACTTAACCGAGTTGAACTTTAGCAGTCATTTTCTAGACCATTCCTCCAGTTTGTCCAGGTCATCCTGTAGTCTCTGTCTATCTTCATCCGTCTTGATTCTTCTCATAATTTTTGCATCATCAGCAAACATTGAGAGGAACGAGTCTATACCCTCCGGAAGATCGTTTATATGTATTAGAAACAGGATGGGTCCAAGTACTGAGCCCTGTGGGACTCCTCTGGTGACATCTCGCCACTCTGTCTCCCCCCTCACCGTTACTCGCTGTTTCCTGTTGCTTAAGTACTGTACAGTACTCCCTTATCCACTGGAGCACCTTCCCTTTTACTCTTGCCTGTTGCTCCAACTTTTTTAACAGCCTTTTATGGGTTGGTTTATGCATTGCTCCGGTTGCAGTCCCGCCTTCAGCCGTTTTTGAGGGGGACCTGGGTCACTAGGCAGTTGCTCGAGCAGTTGGGCGGGAGCCTGAACTTTGACTTGCTGGTTTACCCACTGGGCAAGGTTTGACTTTGGAGGCTGTTCTGGTATCTTCGGGGCAATCCCTTTCACCTCTTTCGTGACTGCTGGGTTCGCACCCCGGTGTCTTTAAGTCAGTTGCCGAGTCACCGGCTTCCTCTTTGGTTTTTTTTGGGTTCAGTGCCATGGTGTCTTCCCACGCTCGATGCGTTCATGGACGCCTTGTCTATCGGCTGGGGCTTTGTGCCCAGCGCTCGCTAGGCTGGCCAGATTCGATGGGCTCTGTCCTTTATTTGGGCTCGCAGCATGGTGCAGGAGTTTGTGGCTCTGTGACTGGCTTTGTGGTGGATTGGGCTTCCTCGAGGCACTATGATCCGGCTCCATTCGGACTGCACCCCTGTAGTTCATTGTCTCAATTGGGGGAGATGGGGGTCTCTGTGGTCCATAGTTCTTTGGGGCTTGTAGCTTTGTGTAGCTCTTCTGCCAAGTTCTCTGGGTTTAGCTCTCCGCACCGTTCATATTCGGGGGGGGGGGGGGGGTTGTCCAACGTCCTTACAGTTGGCCTGTCACGCTCCATTCCCCTTTACATGGAATTGACAGTTGACGCCGCCGCCTTCCTTTGACTTTGTCAGATGTACAGGCGCCCAGTGGTGGATCTCTTCACGACGGCTTAGTCTCCGCATCTCCCATTATAGGTGGCATCTTTTTCTAGACTGCGAGGTCTTCGCGGTAGATGCTTTCTGGCCGGACTGGTCAAGGTGGGGGTCCTGTACCTTCTTTCCCAAGTCCAGCTGTTGCTTTGGGTTCTGGCTCGGCTTGAATCATATTATGGGAGGGTACTTCTCTTGGAGTCTTTCCACAGCTCTACCTCTTTCAGCAGATCGGGCTGGTGTTACCTTGCTGTAACTAGTGGTGGGGCGCTAATAAGCGGGCACACTAGTGGGATGCCAATTTGCTTGTGTGTTTCTCTTTTGGGGGGAGTTCTTTGGCTCTGTTCAGACATAGGTTGCAATCTTTACCAGTTGGGGTTTGTATTGTTTCGTCTATTTTTCTGGGTGCCCTCCTCGGTTGCTGGCAGACATGACATACTCTAAATGTAATGTGCTCATAATTGCCATTGCTCCCTGCGCCTCATAGTGGACCAGGTTCTGGCTTTGGTCTCCGGTAGACATACAGAACTCCCGTGATTGACACCAAACTAATATGGCACATGTCAGTTTGGATAGCTTCAGGGAGCCTCCAGGATTCGCCCATAAAATGATGTTTCATTATATTTAACTCTGGTTTTGTTTTTATCATTTAATGTGCTTTGAACCATACACTGAAATTGGGCTCTGAGCATTCCAATATCTACTGTATATGCCTGCATACCTTTTAGTATAGGTAATGTTATCTTGACTGATACTTGACATTTTGATAGCTAAACTACTGTGTAAATATATTGGTTATTCATCACTCATAATATGCACTTTTCAGATTATTGCTCGTTGCCACCACCACCGCCACCAAAATGCCAGAGCCGAAGCCATTTGAACGCCTCCCTGAGAATATTAAGCCCACTCATTACAAAATCACACTCCAACCAAATCTTGTAAAATGTGTATTTCATGGCTCTCAGGAAGTTGATATTGAGGTATGTGTTTTGTGGGGGGGGGGGGGATTCTTGTACTATATAGAATATCCTTTAGCAGGTAATATGATAAAAAATTTCTATCCCCCTGGGAGAACGTATGGAAATAAGTGAAGTTGTGTAATAAACTCTTCTACTGAGGATTGACCTCTTAACCACTGCACTGCTCTGCATTGAAATATGACACCCCTGTGGTGTGCCAAAAATAAATTCTTTCAAAGAAAATTACTTTCTCTTATACAGTACAGTATTGTGAAAATGGAGTCTCTGATCACAGGGAAAACTAGACAAAAATAATGTATGTGACGTACTTTAGCAGTGATGGAGCTGAAAAGTTGAGCAAGTTATGGGCTCTGAGCGATGGAGTGCTTGGGGTCACTAGGCCCCACCATCCCGTGGGGCAGCAGTTGCAGCGAATATAATGTTTCCACAATTATTTTGATGTTTCTCATTCATTTCATCTTTTTTTTTTTCTGCTGTAATATTATTCAAAAGTGTAATTTTTTTAATTTATATAGTACAATGTGTGGAACATCTATATGCTCAAAATTATAGAGCTCATATGTGACATATTGTATTCTACAATCAAACAGTGTTTGCTGTTATTACACTATATATATACACACATTGTATATACCTATCTTACATATGTGTTCACCATAATAAACCACTAACTTGGTATGGTGAGCCCAAAAAACAAAAGTGGGCTGCACACCCAGTCAACCCTCCCTCCCTCCAACACCTAACTCACCAACATTACTCCTCCCCATAACATTGTTTGTGGTTTTATTACACTATTTACATGTTATATATAGTATCTACACATTTTATTCACCATAACTACCCAACTAAGCTGGTATGGTGTCCAAACAGCATAGTAGCCACTATACACTGCATGACAAGTCATACAGCAGCCAGCAGATGACACTAAGAGACAATGCAAAATCTTCCCTCCCTCCTTCCTCGCCAAGATTACTCCTGCCACCATACTACGCACATCGCTAATTCTCACCACAATCCTGCTATTATCAGAATCCTGGTCACTAAATCCTGTAAATGAATAATTTTCCACAAGTTTATTTTGTAAAGGAACATGAAGTCGTTTCAAGATTCTTAGATGGACGAAATAATGGCAGTGTGCTGTGAACATCTTGAACAGCACTGATTCACTGATATCTGAACATTGTACACAGTCTTTATTAGTCAGGCTCTTCTGTAATACTATCATGCTAAATAATACCAGTTACATATATATTTTGACATTTTTAAGCGATGCTGTTGTTACAAACTGAACAGCACTGTTGTTAGCTCATGCTGTATTCACCTAGTTGTTCACCTAGTTGTGTTTGTGGGGGTTGAGCTTTGCTCTTTCGGCCCGCCTCTCAACTGTCAATCGACTGTTTACTAACTACTATTTTTTTTTCCACACGCACACACACACACACACACACACACACACACACACACACACACACACACACACACACACACACACACACACACACACACACTATACTGGAAAAGGTTCAAAGGTTTGCCACCAGACTAGTACCCGAGCTGAGAGGTATGAGCTACGAGGAGAGACTACGGGAATTAAACCTCACTTCGCTGGAAGACAGAAGAGTTAGGGGGGGACATGATCACCACATTCAAGATTCTGAAGGGGATTGATAGGGTAGATAAAGACAGTCTATTTAACACAAGGGGAACACGCACAAGGGGACACAGGTGGAAACTGAGTGCCCAAATGAGCCACAGAGATATTAGAAAGAACTTTTTTAGTGTCAGAGTGGTTGACAAATGGAATGCATTAGGAAGTGATGTGGTGGAGGCTGACTCCATACACAGTTTCAAGTGTAGATATGACAGAGCCCGATAGGCTCATGAATCTGTACACCTGTTGATTGACGGTTGAGAGGCGGGACCAAAGAGCCAGAGCTCAACCCCCGCAAACACAACTAGGTGAGTACAACTAGGTGAGTACACATAAACAAGTTAAGTGAGAAGGTGGTGGAGGCCAAGACCGTCAGTAGTTTCAAAGCGTTATATGACAAAGAGTGCTGGGAAGACGGGACACCACGAGCGTAGCTCTCATCCTGTAACTACACTTAGGTAATTACACTTAGGTAATTACACATACACACACACCCCCCCTCCCCCCAGGAAGCAGCTTGTGACAGCTGACTAACTCCCAGGTACCTATTTACTGCTAGGTAACTGGGGCATTCAGGGTGAAAGAAACTTTGCCCATTTGTTTCTGCCTGGTGCGGGAATCAAACCCGCGCCATTTCTGGCACCACATTTCTGGCACTATGTATGTTGATGAAACACTGTGGAAAACACGTCATCACTGATTATTGGAACAAAGACCATTGTGTTCCTACACCTTTGTTCGGGAAATATGTGTCGAGACAGGTTTGTGATACTCCTCATTTTGCAAGTAATGAAGACCGGACAGAGGACGATAGACCTTGGAGGGTGAGGCACATTCTGAATGAACTCGTTGGAAAGTTTAGAGATTTCTACGTACCAGCTCAGAAGCTGGTGATTGATGAATCTCTTGTGCTTTTCAAAGGATGTTGTCGTCTTCAAGTAATATATTCCCTCCAAATGCCACAGATTTGTATTGAAATTCTTTGTACTCTGTGACTGTAAAGCAGGAATTGTGTTAATCACGATAATGTATTCTGCTACCAATGTAGACATTCCCGGTAATGACCAACTTGGTTTCTCAGGTAGACTGATGGCACCATGGCTGAACAAAGGCCACAGTTTATACACGGATAACTATTATACAAGTCCCTTGCTATCTAGGTTCTTGCTTGAAAATAGAACTGGAGTGTGTGGCACAATAAAGGCAAGAAGAAGAAATGCCTGCGACTGACAATAATATTGCAGTAGGTGACTGCCAGGTAAGAAAAACTGATCAAATACACTGTGCAGTGGAAAGACAGGCGAGAAGTGAACATGTTGACAACCGTTCACACTGGTATAATGGTGAACAGTGGCAAGGTGAACAATGAAACAAACCATATATAAACCAGATTGTATTATGGAATATAACAAACATGCATTTGGTTGATACCTGTGACATGATGGTGGGTGCTGTCGAGTGTGTATGTAAAACAGTGAAGTGGACCAAAAAGATGTTTTCTGTGGAGAGCCCTTTTGGCTCCCCTGAAGTTATACTGGGCTGATGTGTGTATATTAGACCATGTTGTGTTTGCTTCTTTGCACTGTTGCCGTCACCATAGCCACCGCGCTGCTGTTTGCGCAGCTTTCCCCTTCCAGGAAGGGGGAGCCCCAGACCCTTTGCACTGGCTATCCAACCTCAATTCAGAGGCCTTATATAAAAAAAAAAAAAAAACATGAAAAACCGTCGACTGGAGGGAGGGGTGCTGGGGAGCTTCCGGGTCTCGGACAGAAAATGGCATTTCATTACATTCAATGCTGCTTTTTCTGTGGAGAGCCCCTTCGGCTCCCCGGAACTACCTACCTAGGAAGAGAGACTTACCTGGAAGGCGGCTGCCACTCTATGAGAAGATGGAGGTAGCAGGGAGGGCCAGTTTGGGGGGAAGGGGGCGGGTCTTGGGGAGGGACCGAGGGTGACCAGCTCCCATGTTAGTCCTAACCGGAAGCTGGTTCACTCGTGCCACCGCCTACTGCTACCACCCACCCACTCTGACCAATCGTCATGCTGCTCATCTACCCACCCACCATCTCCTGACCGCCCTGCTATTCACCCGCTCTCTCTGTGCCTGCCCTGCCACTCACCTCCTTAGTGTACCATCTGCCATCCACTTGTTCTGTTCCACCTGCCCACCCACTCGCCCTCCACATGTCCTTTCCTTACATGATTCTAGGGCTGGTGTTTCTAAAAGATTTTCTTTTCCCTCAACCACTCACCAGCATCCCTGTCCCACTCACCTGCCATCCATCCAGTCCCCCATCCATCCATCCATCAATCTAGTCCCCTCACCATACATCTTGAGGTTATCTTGAGATGATTTCGGGGCTTAGTGTCCCTGCAGCCTGGTCCTTGACCAGGCCTCTTTTTTTTATTACACACCCCCATGAAGCGGCCCGTAGCAGCTGTTTAACTCCCAGGTACCTATTTACTGCTAGGTGAACAGGAGCATCAGGGTGAAAGAAACTATGCCCATTTGTTTCTGCCTCCACCATGAATCGAACCTGAAACCATAAGACTACGAGTCTCAAGCGCTGTCCACTCGGCTATCAGGCCGCCATCCATCCAGTATCCCCACCATCCATCCTGTTGTCCTCCCAAATACAATATTCAAGTGTGATAGTCACTAGGCGGGTGACACTGGTAAACTGAAGCACGGTCACCCATGCCACCAAGAACCACACGCTTGGTCGACCTATAATTGTGTCAGCAAACTCCCAACTCGAGGCAAAGGTCATAAGTAGAGTCAAATTTTCCAACGAAATTGAGGTCGTAACTCAAAAAATTCGTAAGTAGGGGCATTTGTAAGTCGAGGTTCCAGTGTACTATTATTGGCTACTCTTTATAAAAAGTATGAAATTGTGAGAAGTTTTCTTTCCTGAATATGTGCCTGCTCCAGAACTAAGTAGACTTCAGGTACACTGTATTTGTAAATGGTAATTTTAAACCTAACATGATGCTTACCCTGTGCTGAACTAACAGTTTATATACTGCTGGAAATGCTATGCATGTTGGTGGCTTTACAAGAATGTAAGGACACCAGTGTTATGTACTCTGTCAAATCCATCGTGCCTTCTTGTATACAAATAAATAAGTAACTACTACAGTGTACAGTGGTACCTTGGTGTATCACTGCCCCAAGAGTATGATTTTTTTTTTGTGGTGCTGGGGGCACAGGGCAAGGCACACTTGGTTGTTTACCAGTGTATCCCGTAGAGTGACGACCGCTACTGCGCATGAATTCTTTGTAAAGAATTTAATTGTTTTCTGCATTTGGGTTTCTGAACATAAAAGTTCTTGTTAAATATCACAACCTGTTCTCTTAAAAATAACGTCGCTTTTGGCCGTTTGGCCGTATAGCCGAAAGTGGACGTAATTTGAAAATGAAGAAAATAATAAAAATAAATTTGGGATTTTTTTTTTTACAACAACAGTAAGTTAACCCTTAAAGTGCGCATCACGTCATATGACGTGCTGGACGTTGTACCAGTAAACTGCGCATCACGTCATATGATGTGTTGGAGTACTAGGCAAGATTTAAACAGCCCGCGGATACACGGGGTTCACCACACCTTCATCAGGGCTCTTGTAAACAGACGCCATTTTTAAAAAAAAACGTGGGCCAAACTCCCGGGTGTTATTGGCCTCAGTATTGAGTGAGCAACCAAGCCTGACGCACGCAGCATGAGCTAACAGCACTGCTGTTCAGCTTGTGACCACAGCATCGCCTAAAAATGCCAAATTATACTTGTTCATGCTATTATGTAGCGATGATATTATTACAGAAGACCCCTGACTATGATAAAACTGACCAGGGTTCTGATAATAGCAGGATTGTGGTGATATTTAGCGCTGTGCGCCATGGAAGGAGGTGTAATGCTGTGGGAGGGAGGGTGGTGGCGATGTCTTTTGACTGTGTGTGGCCACCTTTTATTGACTGCACTCACCATACCAGCTTAGTGGTTCGCTATGGTGAACACAAATGTAGATACTTATATATAACGTGCGTATAGAGGGTATAAACAGCAAGAGAAGGTTTGGAGCCGCCATTTTGGTGAGGGCGGTGGCGTCGTCTGCACGACGCCACCGTGCAGACGACGGTGTTGTTTACTGGTTACCACGATGGTCTTTGGGCACCATACCAGTTTATTTGTACAAGTATGATGAATAAAACAGGTGGATATTTATATATAATGTGTGTATATAGCGTAATAACACCACACAGTGTTGTTGGAGGAGAAATATTAGTGCGTCTGGCCTTGAGGGCGGCCGCCGATCATGCACAGTTATGGTGAACAAAACATGTAGATACTTATATATAACGTCTGTATATAAGATATATAGCGTAATAACACCACACAGTATTGTTGGAGGAGAAATATTAGTGCATCTGACCTTGAGGGCGGCCGCCGATCAGCTGACTGTGTGAGTAGTCACATCTCTGTGCCTTTACTCACTATACAAGCTTAGATGCACAGTTATGGTGAACAAAACATGTAGATACTTATATATAACGTCTGTATATAGTGAATTATAGCAAAAACATTATTGTGGGAGGAGAATGAGGGTGAGTCAGATGACTGGAGGGAGGGCGGGAGTGGCTGGCTGGTACACGGCGGTCACTCCTCATTACTTTTTGACTCATAATAGCTACTTAGTGGTTCGTTATAGTGAACAAAACATGCAAATACTTATATATAACCTGTGCTTATAGTGTAATAACTGACAAAGTATTTGTTCACTGATTGATGAACATAATTGAATCAACAATATGCACACCATATTTTTGAGTACACCAACGATTCACTCATTTTATTATATAAATATATCAAACTACACACTATTGAATAATATTACAGCAAAAAAAGTATGAAAAATCAGAGACATTGAAATAATTCGGTAATTATCTCTTTGTGGCAACTCTGGCCTGACAGCTTGCGAGCAACAGTGGGACGCACGCTGAGTCAGCGCCTATAATTTGCCAGACTTCCCCGCCCTATAGCGGGCAATATATGCCACTTACGATTTTTTTATTATTTTTCCCGTGATCAGTGAACACAAATTAACAGGTTAGAAAGAAAAAATAATTTTTTTTTTTTCAAAATGACATGCGCCTGTGGGGATGGCAGGATATTAGACCCCGAGCATGTTAAGGGTTAAGGGTCCTCTGGTAGCTAGGTGGGCAGGAAATTCTTGTAAAGTTTCAGAACGTTATGAAAAACGTTAATTGAAAGTTTCCTCTTCTAACCTTACCGAGTAAGTCGGACGACTCAACCAGAAAACGGGACAGTACCTCACTTTTGTGAGTAGATTTCATTTCAAATTACGTCCACTTTTGGCCATAGCGCGCATACGAGTGACGTTATTTTTAAAAGGACGGGTTGAATATCACGCTGTGGGTCCCAAGAAAGTCAATGGTAAAGTTCAACCTAAGAAAATAGGTGAGGATGACCATGGATGGAAAAACAAGAGATCATTCATAGTGAATGAATGTGATGTCTCACTACAGACAAGTGTTAAAACATAGGGAAAAACGAGCGTCTTTTAGGCAGATTCTCAGTAAGACAAGCAAGCAGTGAGCTGCAACCAGGTCCTAGTGGTATGCTTGCAAGACGTAGGAGAGAGTGTACTCCCCCAAAGTCATCGCTGCCTGATGTTATAATGAAAGGGGACCCCTTTCCAAACACTAACACCTCTCCTCCTCCCCACCTCCTCACTGTCTTCCATACGCCAACAATAGTCCTCAATTAAGTTAAGATATATTTTGTACTACAGTACAGTATGTATGAGTGGTATTTTGTATAAAATGTATTTTTAAGTTAATATTTTTGTGTGGGGGGGAACAGATTAATTAAATTTACATTATTTCTTATGAGAAAAATCGTTTGTGGTTTATGATTTTTTGGTGTACGACACGTCTCTGGGAACGGATTAGAATCGTAAATGAAGGTACCACTGTATTTAGAATTATTTGGTATTGCTTTTGACTAATGCATTATACTGATAAAACTTTTTCAGTGATTTTTATTTAAATATTGCTGCACTTACAGATTAAGGAAGCTTCAAAGCAGATAAAGTTCAACTCGCTGGACTTGACTTTGCGAGACGTAAAGGTAATGCTGCCGTCCAAGGAGGTGCTTGTCCCTATTTCTACAGAAATTTCTACAAGCAATGAGATGGTAACACTTGCATTTGCGGAAACTTTGCCAATTGGATCAGCCAAATTAAGTGTGTCATTCGATGGAGAACTTAATGACAAAATGAAAGGGATGTACAGAAGCAAATATTCATCGTAAGTACTGTAAAACATTGTAAATACTGTACTTTGTAGTTGGTTTGATAGGTTGTGCGTGCATACATATGATGCATAACATTTATATTAAAGCTATACTGCTTGGTTGCTTTCTTAAAGAATCTGTGTTGGCTGGCCAGGATTGGTATTAAAAGGTCAGGCAGAGCAATATTCAGACATCAGTGTTAGTGTTTAACTTACCCCTTAGGGTAAAACTGGTGTTACACAGCAGTATAGAATATGTGAACAAGGTAAAAAGGACACCCCAGAGAGCTTGAAATACAAAATAAGGCCTTGTTTAGCCTTGCTAGGAAAGTTTATGCCTACTGAGTGGTATTGGGCAGGGGGGGGGGGGGTTGATGGCATTCTGTTTCTTGATATAAATATTGACGATTGTTTATATTTCTGTGGGGAGCCCCATCTGCTCCCTGAAGCTATCCAAACTGATATAGTGCTGTACTATTTGGGGTCATCACACTTTATGGCACTATATTTCTTTCAGATATTAAGTGCATACGTAAACATTTAAATTCTGTACAAATATTTATTTCACGTGTAAAAATAGAATTTAAAATTTTCAAATTTTTAATTCACTTGGCCTCTAAACTTTTTAATCTAGTTCATCAGTTTGTCATTAAGCATTTTCCCTGCAACTGGGACACTTGTGGCAATGATCTCTAAAATCTTCACTTTTCTATAACCCCCTTTCCTTCGTTCCAACCCTTCAGGCGAGTACTTGTCAACTCCACCATACTCAGTCTTCTTACTCCACACCCATGATCTCTCTCTCTCCTTCATAATTTAGAATTATTGTTCATATTAAATTATACCTAATAAAAAAAAATTCTTTGTATCGACAATCCACATTAGTGTCTGTGATTTCTTAGCATGTAAGCTTGGTTCCATTTGTGTTAACAGAGCGAATGGTGAAGAACGCTATTCAGCCGTCACGCAGTTCGAAGCTACAGATGCCCGTCGCTGTTTTCCTTGCTGGGATGAACCAGCACTCAAAGCTACATTTGACATAACGCTTGTGGTGCCACATGATCGTGTGGCACTCTCTAATATGGTAGGAGGTTTTCATATTTTTTGTGAACATATGCATGGATTTGCTTCAGTAATTGAATGGTAAATGCTGTATTAGTGTAGGAGGTTTTTAAACTGGGATATGCTTACATGGTGTTCTCTGGTGTATACTAGTGTATCGGGAAGTACTCAAAACAGGGCTAACCTTAGGCCAGTTGAACCTATTGGACCCAATGGGGCCCTACTAGAGGCTTGCCATCTCTAGCTCTGAAAAGTAAATGCACAGCACAGATTGGAGGATTCTCTTAAGAATCATTCTGATAACTATTGTATTCCTCCAGTCTTCATCTACTCCTGTTTTAATTACAGTACATTTAATCTCATGATCTAGAGGGATAGGTAGGTTGATTATAGTTTATGAGCGCCTCAAATTTTATACTCTATACGATATTGTTACTGTACTCCATTGTGTGCGTGTTAGATGTGACTTACATTTGTATGCTAAACAAAACAGTGACCAAACAAATGTCTAAATAGTAAATAAATTTAAACTTGTATGTAGTAACTTGTATACAATTAATTTTTGATCTGCTAATAGAAATGGCATAGGTCTCGGGATACTCGGGCAAGAAGTGAAGCAGAATCTTTGGCTAACTAATTGAGTGATTGGAAGTTCACAATTACACAGCAGGGAGGAGAGAGACAGAAAGGTATTGGAGAAAGGTGCTGTGGACAAATGTAAAACAGATCCAGGCCTTTTCTATAAATTCAATAAAAGAAAGCTTCATGTGAAAGATAAAATCCAGAGATTGAGAATGGGGAACAGGACTACTGAGAATGAAAAAGAAATGTGTGAAATGCTAAATGAACAGTTCTAAAGTGTTTGTACAAAATGAGGATTTCAGAGAAGTGGACCAAATGCCAATTCCAGAGCATGCCATAGAATACATAGATCTCTCGAGAGAGACGAAGTGGAAAAATTACTCAAGGGGCTAGGAAGAAATAAAGCAGTTAGACCTGATGGAGTTTCACCTTGGGTGCTGCAAGAATGTGCAACTGAACTGAGCATTCCACTCCAAATAATATTCCTGACATTCTCGTGCACAGGAATCTTAGCAGATATATGGAAAAAGGCAAAAACAGTACCAATCTATAAAAATGCTAGTCGAAAGAACCTCTAAATTATAGACCTCTATACAGAGATACTACAGGAAAAGGGTGGTTGGGTTGACTGTGTCTTGCTGGACCTAAAAAAAAAAAAAAACTTCACAGTCCCACACAAGATGCTGTTCTGGAACATGCTGGAGGGGTGACGGAAAAATTATAGACCAGTTGCACTAACACTGCACATAATAAAAGTTTTTGAAAGAGTGATTAGGAATTAAATTTCTAGCTTTATGGAAAATAATGAGCTACACAAGCCAGGGCAACATGGATTTAGAGTGAGAAGATCCTGTCTGTCACAGTTACTCAACCACTATAACAAAATCACAGAAGCTTTAGAAGAAATGCAAAATGCAGATATTGTACACACAGACTCTGTAAAGGCATTCGACAAATGTGACAATGGAGTGATAGTACACAAAATGAGGTCAATAGGAATAACTGGCAAAGTAGGACGCTGGATACTCAATTTTCTGTTGAACAGAACACAGTAACAGTCAAATAAAATATTCCAAGCACAGTTAAAAGCTCTGTACCTCAAGGTACAGTCCTTGCACCACTGCTTTTCCTTATTCTCATATCAGATACAGACAAAAATACAAGTCACAGCTTCGTGTCATCCTTTGCAGAAGACACAAAAATCAGCATGAAAATTACCTCTGCTGAAGACATTGAAAAACTACAAGCAGATATTAACAAAGTTTTTGATTGGGCAGCAGAAAATAACATGATGTTTAACCCTTAAGTTGCACAACCCATCATATGATGTATTGAGTGACTTGCTATAAAATGCGCATCCCATCATATGATGTATTGGAGTACTACGCAAGATTTAAAAGGCCCGCGGATACATGGGTTTCACCTCACCTTCATCAGGGCTCTTGTAAACAGACGCCATTTAAAAAAAAAATCGTGTACCAAATTCCCTGGTGTGAGGGCCTCAGTATCGAGTGAGCCACCAAGCCTGATGCACGCAGCATGAGCTCACAACACTGCTGTTCAGCTTATGTTCACAGCATCGCCTAAAAATGCCATAATATACATGTTTATGCTATTATTTAGCGATGATAGTATTACAGAAGACCTCTTGACTGATAAAAATGACCAGGTTTCTGATAATAGCAGGATTGTTGTGATAATTAGCGCTGTAGTGGGAGAAGTAATCTTGGTGGGGAGGGAGGTAGCATTGTCTGCTGACTGTGTGTGACCACCTTTTACTGTCTGGACTCACTATACCAACTTAGTTGTTCGCTATGGTGAACAAAACATGCAGATACTTATATATAATGTCTGTATATAAAAGCAAAAACAGTATGGTGGCGGGTCAGGTGAGGTGAGGAAGGGAGAAAGTGGCAGCCAGTGGCGGGCTGCCACTGGCTGCCATTGCCACTGCCACTCAGCATACCAACTTAGTGGTTCGTTATGATGAACACGAATGTAGATACTTATATATAACGTGTATATACAGTGTAATAACAGCAAAAGGAGTGTGGGGTAGAAGCCATTTTGGTGATGAGGTGGCAACATCTGCATGATTTGTCATGTTGGTAGGGGTAGCCACTATGCTCTGGGCATTATCCCGGCTTAGTTGAACAGTTACGGTGAACAAAACATGTAGATACATATATATATATAATGTGTGTGTATATAGTGTAATAACACAACAAACAGTATAGTTGGAGGAGGAATATTAGTGCATCTGGCCTTGAACCAGTGAGAGGGAGCATCAGCTGTGTGTGGCAAACTGTGTCAGTCTGAACTCGCTATACCTGCTTAGTTGTACAATTATGGTGAACAAAACATGTAGATATTTATATAACGTCTGTATATAGTGAATACAGTAAAAGCAAAAATAGTATGGTGGGAGGACGAAGTTGGCGAGTGAGGTGTTGAAGGAGGGAGTGGTGCCACGTGGCTGGCTGGTGTGGCGGCTACTCCTCGCTGCTTTGACTCACCATACCAACTTAGTGGTTCGTTATGGTGAACAAAACATGCAGATACTTATATATAACCTGTATATATAGTATAATAACTGCAAAAGTATTTGTTTATTGTTTTATGAACATAATAATGGAATCACTAATATGCACACCATAATTTTGAGTAGAGAGATAATTCACACATTTTATTATATAAACATATCATACTACATACTATTGAAAATATTACTGTAAAAAACTAAGAAAAAATCAATGAGACATTGAAATAATTAGATAATAATATCTTTGTGGCAACTCCTGCCTGACAGCTGGAGCGGACCAGACCAGACCACCTCTGGTGCTTGCTCTGTCAACTCACCCTTTTGGCCAGACTTTCCCCGCCCTTTTGTGGCCAAAATATGCCACCTACGATTTTTTATATTATTTTTCCCGTGATCAGGAGAAACAAATGAACACTTTTATAAGATTTTTTTTTGTGCGCACGTGCCTGTGGGTGTTGAAGACCATATAACCCAGAGCAGTTTAGGGGTTAAAAAATTCATATGAAACCTGCTAAAGTATTTTGATTAAAAAAAAAATTATCTTCTGTTTTAGCTATAATACAGTGAATTAAAATGTATATGTAAGCTCTTTTGAAGTATTAACTATAGGCCACTGTAATACAAAATGATAATTACAGCATATAGTTATCCTACTCTAAAAGAATGTGGCCTTATAAAATGTTCGCCAAGTAAAATATGGCCTTCATGAAAAAAGGTTCCCCCTCTCCAACTTAGTGCATCACGGCTACTCATACTCCAGTTTGAAATCCTCTTCATGTTTATTAAAGCCTGTTACGGAGGAACATAACACTGTCAGTTTGGTAATGCTTTCTTTTAGGAAATCCATTAAGGTATAAATTGATAGTTTTTTTAACTTTGTTCAGGAAGCACCTCAAAGGCTAAATGCTTGCAAGACATGTATAGTGTGTGTGATCATACCTCCATCCTGTAGGTAGGATTTGGTTCCCATTCCTTATAAACAGATGTTTACAATTTGTGAAGACCTGTATAATTTTTAATATCCATCTTGATTTCCAACTTTGTTAAACATGGTTGGGTCTGACGGGAATCTGGTTAGGTGACAGTATATAGCCTCCTTCTCGGCTAGCGGGATCTTTATAAGCCTAATGGGCATCCTGTCCCAGGAAATGTGAAAATAATAATAGTTATATGCTAACCAAAATTTCACCACAGGCTGGATTCTAGAAATGTTTTATCAGACAAAATACTAGTGTCTAAACTTTTATATTTTGTCCTATCATTACAAATTATTACATAATTTTAATGTTTCGTATCTTGTATTACAGTACAGTACAGTGTAATTATAATTAGTTATTACAATTATTTACAGTATTTAGCAATGCCATCTTAATTGGATACATTTGTTCATTGGATCTTTAGACAACTTGACATTGTACTGGCCACATAGTTACTCCTTTTGGATCCTTGATGCAATATTCTTCTCTTAATTCCCCTCTTTAGTAAAGTACTTCAGTTCATTATTATTGTGAATCGCAAAATTGATAGTGTTTCCTTATACAGGTATCTATTTTATGTTCCTTGAATTTAATTATTAAAAAAAAAAAATCTGCTCTGCAGATTCTGATCTGTTGTTCCATTACAAAATGTTAAGAAATGCAAACTTTTCCAATAGATACTTAATATTATATCTAAAGTTAATTTTTATTTTAAGAAGCCATTGTAATGTTAATAGCTGAAGCAGTGCTATCTTTTTTATCACTTAAATTAATTGGTGGGCTTAATTTCTACAGCCAGTAATATCAAGAGAGCCACATGAATCTGACTCCAACCTGCAGGTGGTGAAGTTTGCCACCTCTCCCCTCATGTCGACATACTTGGTGGCTGTTGTGGTGGGCGAGTATGATTATGTAGAAGACACTTCAACAGATGGAATAAAGGTAAATGCCCTATTTTTTTATTAATGTGTTCAAATGATGCCATATGTGTATACTCTGAACTTTTATGTAAACATGAATTTAATTAAGTATTCAGGTCATGTGTGCGTCAAGCTGATGAAGGTTAACAGGACGTGTGGTGAATGGGGCCGCACCTGAAAGTACTCTACACTATTATAGTACTGTATAATATTGTTTATATTGGAGAGACTGTATTTTATTGTGCTGTAAGTGTTACTTCCCATGTGTTTGTGGGGTGGGGATTTCTTTGGTCTGTAAAGATATTTGGGAATGCAAGTTTGGGGTATTTTATAAAACCCCATCATGGAGGAAAAGGATAGATTGAAAGAGTCATTAAAGACTTTAGATACTGTACAATCCATTGTGAAAATTCATGGAATTTATTTATTTACTTTTTTTTCCCAATGTTTCATGCAATCTACCAATTTTTTTTTTTTTTTGTTGGAGGGAGGGGAAGAGTCAATTTATTGTACTACATATATTTTAGAAAGTTGGGAGGGAACCCAGCTGTAGACTTTTTTAATAAATATTGGTATTAAAAGACTGGCTAGCTTGTTACTCCAGACAAAACTGTTTGCTATGTTATTACCATAATCATCATTTGCAAATATTTACATGTGTAAATATAATGCCGTACAATAATTGCGGTCCCCACGGCACATTGGTAACACTCTTGCCCTGTGCTTCTTGAGCGATTTGGCCTAGTTTTGTATCTTGGCTGAGGAGGAATGACTAGGCACCAATCCTTAACTGTGCACCTCTTTTCACCCAGCAGTGATGGATTATTAAACAATTGGTGGGAAGTGTGCAATGATCTACCAGCTTTCTAGATTCTCACTTTTGGAATGGGAGGTGGAGGGGAAAGGGTCTGTGCAAGCAAATCCCAGATTGCAAGTGTTGCTTTAATTATGATAGTGAAGCACAGATTGACATGCAGAGCAAGTAATGGATGATGTATATTTCCCTTCACCATTATAAATTATACAGTGGTACCTCGGAATACAAGTGTCCCTGTATACGAGTTTTTCAGAATATTGTACGAGCAGGATTTGCTCGGAAAATTTGCCTAGGAACACAAGTTTGTTGATACACGTACAGGCCGACTAGCGCATGGTGGCACGGCGATCGCGCCTCAGTTTACCAGTGTCTCGCGCCCAGTGACTATCCCACCTGAATTCTTCACAAGGATTTACAGTTTTTTGTCGTTTTTTTGGCCATTTGAGCATAAAAGTTATTATATATCTCGCCATGGGTCTCAAGAAAGCCATTGGTAAGGTTCAACCTAAGAAAATAGCTGTGAGTAGAGGCAGTAGAGGATGTCCCTTCTTGATTAAGAAAATGTGTGAAGTATGGGAAGAACTGCAAAGTTTTGTTGAAAAAACTCACCCAGATAAAGCTGTAGCAGGCCGTTGCATTGACCTTTTAAATGACAATGTGATGTCTTACTACAGACAAGTGTTAAAATGTAGGGAAAAACAAGTGTCTTTAGACAGATTCTTAGTAAGACAAGCAAGTCCTAGTGGTATGCAGGCAAAACGTGCCAGAGTGTGCACACCAGTGAAGTCCTCACTGCCTGATGTTATAATGGAAGGGGACTCCCCTTCCAAACAGTAACACCTCTCCTCCTCCCCCCTCCTCACCATCTTCCATACGCCAACAGCAGTCATCAGCAAGGGTAAGTAATAACTTGAACATAGTTTTGTAGGTTTATTTAGATGAATTAGGTATAAAATTTAGTTTGAAGTGAGGTTTTTGGGTAGTCAGGAACGGATTAATTCATTTCCCATTATTTCTTATGGGGAAATTAGCTTCGGATTACGAGTTTTCGGAATACGAGCCGTCTCCAGGAACGGATTAAACTCTTAAACCGAGGTACCACTGTAGCTAGACCAGAATGTGGTAGTGCTAGAAAAAATAATTAAACTTGTGTATTCACCTAGTTGTGCTTGTGTGGGTTGATCTCTGCTCTGCTCTTTTGGCCCGCCTCTCGACTGTTAATATTTTTTTTCCACACGCACGCATGCTGGCGGGTTGGCATGCTAGTAAGCTGGCTGGCTGGCTGGCTGGCTGGCTGGCTGGCTGCTATGCTTGCTGGCTGGCATGCTGGCAAGCTGGCTGGCTGGGATGCTGGCTGGCTTGCTGGCTGGCTTGCTGGGTTACATGAGCCGGTCGACCGAGCGGATAGCACGCTGGACTCGTGATTCTGTGGTCCTGGGTTCGATCCCAGGCGCCGGCAAGAAACAATGGGCAGAGTTTCTTTCACCCTATGCCCCTGTTACCTAGCAGTAAAATAGGTACCTGGGTGTTAGTCAGCTGTCACGGGCTGCTTCCTGGGGGTGGAGGCCTGGTCGAGGACTGGGCCGCGGGGACACTAAAAAAAAAGCCCCGAAATCATCAAGATAACATGCATCAAAACAGCTTTCAGAAACTTGTGTAAGGAATCATTCAGAATCTTATATACCATATATGCAAGACCAATCCTGGAGTATGCGGCCCCAGCATGGAGCCCATACCTTGTCAAGCACAAGACGAAGCTGGAAAAAGTTCAGAGGTATGCCACTAGACTAGTCTCAGAACTAAGAGGCATGAGTTACGAGGAAAGGCTGCATGAAATGCACATCACGACACAAAGACAGAAGAGTATGGAGAGACATGATCACCTACAAAATTCTAAGAGGAATTGACAGGGTAGATAAGGATAAATTGTTTAACATGGTTGGTATACGATCAAGGGGGGGGGACAGGTGGAGACTGAGTACCCAAATGAGCCACAGGGATGTTAGAAAGAACAGTTTTCAGTGTCAGAGTAGTTAACAGCTGGAATGCATTAAACAGTGATGTGGTGGAGGCTGACTCCATACACAGTTTCAAATGTAGATATGATAGAGTGCCCAGTAGGCTCAGTAATCTGTACATCAGTTGATTGACAGTTGAGAGGCGGGACCAAAGAGCCAGAGTTCAACCCCTGGAAGCACAACTAGGTGAATACCTCTCCCCCCCCCCCCCCAGGAAGTAGCCCATAACAGCTGTCTAACTCCCAGGTACCTATTTACTGCTAGGTAACAGGAGCATTAGGGTGAAAGAAACTCTGCCCATTTTGTTTCTGCCATCATCAGGGATCAAACCCAGACCCTAGGATTATGAGTCCAGAGCACTGTCCGCTCAGCTGTCAGGTCCAGTAGTCTGCTCTTTGTGTTTCAAATTACTAGCCAGTATCATGCTGCTTCCAGACATTTTTTAAATGGTTGTAGATTGACTGTAACTGCTCGGCAGTTTCTATTCACAATTTTCACTTGACTAAGGAAAACGTAAATTTAGGGCACTTATGTACTTAAGAGACTGGATGCAACCACTTTGGTATCCACTTTAGTCGTGAGGGTATTGCGATCAGTTGTAATGAAACAACAATGATGGAGGACTTTGTGGTGCCAGTCTTTCTATTTGCTGGACCAGAATGTGGTGCCAAGATTGAAACAAATTTAACAATATTCTTTATTTAAATTGTACTGTCTGGGGTGTAGCACCCTTGGTGGCTCTCAGGCATTAATGTACTGGTGCTCAAGGACTACTGCCAACACTTCATGTGTCTGCAACCTAACTTATGGCCTACTGGTTAAAAGAATTGCAACTGGGCAAAGAGGTAGAACAACTTGTTGACAGAGCCTGGGTGCATGGAGGAATTGTGTCAAACCCCAGTTTGTGTCAGAGGCTGAGTGATCCATGTGAGAGCAGTTGCACTCCCGGTTGCAATTCTATTAACAATGTCGCGAAGCACTCAACTAAGGTGCGTCTGGGATCATCCTGGACGTAAGTTCGAACCCTCATCATGGCCTTTGTGGATTTGTTCATTTTCTTGTAAAGTTTTGTTTTTGTTAGTTTCACATTGAATATTCTAAAATTACTATTGTTAGGATCCAAAATGTTACCCTGACTTGAGTGTTGTCAGACAGTATTTTCTGTTGCTCAACCTGTTAAGCAGATTGTCATCATCCAGTTGTGGACCAGATGAAGTTCTTTATGAACCAGTTAAGTTAGTCCATTGAACCTTGTTTTGTTCCATATATAGTCAGTTCCATTTGTTTAAAATTTACATAGGTAGTGTAAACCAATTACAGTAACATCTAGTATTTTACATTCAATTTGTGAATTAAGCTCTATAATTACTTGTGCAGCTCCATGGGATCAGTGACTATCATCAGCGACTATCTTGATGATGAATCCACTGCCAACTTTATCCCTTCTAGAGCTTGAATCAGAAGGAAAGATCCAGTGACACCCTAACTGTATAGATCATTGTTCCCTTTGAAGACGTAGTCTGCTAGTCACGTGTAAAGATTTTTTAGTGTTCTTTCCTAAGGTTGGCCTTTGCACAAGCACCCTGTTGATCTCTCTAACACTTTGTAGAGTGCAGCCAACATGAAACTAGTGGTTGTAAAAAAATGTGTAGTGCATTTTTCACTAAAAACATATTGTACTTACATTTTTAATTGGTTATTCCGTTGGTAAAAATCTTCTCATTGACAAGAATCGCTGACACTACATGAAACTTTCAAATTGTCCGTGTAGAATCATATGAAGCGATGAGGCATTGGAGAAAATCACGTTCCAGCCTAGCTTCTCTAGTATCATTTATCGGTACTGTAGTTTGTTACCTCTCTCTAACTGCTGGGTTTTAGTTCCGTTTTGGTGGCTTGCCTAGGGAAAGGGAACTATCAGGAGAATGCACCAAGCCACCACAACTATATAGCTGAAAGGGATCAGGATAAGGATGTGGGATGGGATGGGGGGAAGGAATGGTGCCCAACCACTTAGATGGTCGGGAATTGAATGCTGAGATGCAAGAAACTACATCACTCTGCCATCCAGTTAAAGTGGTTGGGCAATGTTGCCTAGGGAAACAACCAAATATTAGTGTAGCTCAAATACATTTGTCAGTATGAAAAGTGACTTTCTGAGGAGAATCATTTTAGTGCTCCTGGACTCTCCTCTTATCTTCTCTTTCCTTCATGCATTTTCTTCCAGTTCTGTTGGAGAATCTGACATATGGGCTAGATTGTGATTTTCTTCTGCATCCCTCGTGCTTTATATGATCCTGAAGGGAAATTTGAAGTGTTCACTGTGTCGTCGTCCTGCCTCTGTTCATAAAAACTGATGCAGTGGATTTTTGCTTTGGGAAAGAACTGAATGGTTCTTTGAAAGATGCATTGCATGGGATAGGGAAGGGTCTTGTATGCAACTGTAGAAAGTGTTTAGAGAAAAACTGTTTAAATTCATGATTACTGAAATTGGTAGATTTTTAACCCTTAAACTGCGCATGGCATATATATACGCCATGAGTAACATGTCCCACAGTGCGCATGGAGTATATATACGCCATAGGGTGCCAGGCACGATTCAAATGGCCCGTGGCTTCACGGAGTTCACATTAGCTTCCTCGGGGCTCTTGTAAACGTATGCCATGTTTAAAAAAAATCGTGGGCAATATTCTCCAGTGCGAGAGCCACAGTACTGTCGGAGCAACCAAGGCTGGCGCACACAGCATGAGCTAACAGCATTGCTGTTCAGCTTGTGACCACAGCATTGCCTAAAAAGTCTCAATAATTATGTAGCTGCTATTATTTAGTGATGACAGTATTACAGATGACCCCTGACTGTGATAGAACTGACCAGGATTATGATAACAGCAGGATTGTTGTGATAATTAACGCTGTGAGAGGAGTAATGCTGAGGGACGGAGGGAGATAGCATCATTTACTGGCTGTGTGGCCACCTGTTATTGTCTGCATTCACCATACCAGCTCAGTGGTTCTCTATGGTGAACACAAATGTAGATACTTATATATAATGTGTGTATATAGTGTAATAACACTGTAAACAGTATTGTTGGGGGAGAAATTTTAGTGGGTGTGACCTTGAATGAGTGAGGGAGGCAGCCACCAGCTGACTGTGTGTAGCGACATTTCTTAGTGCCTGAACTAACTATATCAGCTTAGTTGTACAGTTGTGGTGAACAAAACATATAGATACTTATATATAACGTCTGTATATAGTGAATAAAAAAAAAAAAAAAAAAAACAGGATGGTGGGAGGAGAAAGTGGGCGAGTGAGGCGTTGTGGAGGAAGTGGCACCGAGTGGATGGCTGGTGTGTGGCAGTCACTCATTGCTTTTCGACTCATAATACCATCTTAGTGGTTCGTTATGGTGAACAAAACATGCAGATACTTATATATAACCTGTGTATAGAGTGTAATAACAGTAAAACTTTTTTTTTTTTTTTTTTTTTTTTGAGATATATACAAGAGTTGTTACATTCTTGTACAGCCACTAGTACGCATAGCGTTTCGGGCAGGTCCCTGGAATACGATCCCCTGCCGCGAAGAATCGTTTTTTCATCCAAGTACACATTTTACTGTTGCGTTAAACAGAGGCTACAGTTAAGGAATTGCGCCCAGTAAATCCTTCCCGGCCAGGATACGAACCCATGACACAGCGCTCGCGGAACGCCAGGCGAGTGTCTTACCACTACACCACGGAGACTGTTTTATGAACATAATAATTGAATCACTAATATGCACACCATACTTTTGAGTATAGCGATGATTCACCCCTTTTATTATATAAATCTATCACACTACACACTATTCAATAATATTACTGCAAAAAAAAATAAGAAAAAATCAGACATTGCAATAATTAGGTAATATCTTTGTGGCAACTCCCACCTGTCAGCTTGGGTGACGCTGACCGCCACTGACGACCACTCTGGCAACGCCCACATTTTGCCAGTCTTCCTCGGCCTATTGCGGCCAAAATATGTCTCCTACTTTGTGTTCAGGGAACACAAATTAACATTTTTAGATTTTTAGAAGACGAAATAATTTAAAAAAATTTTTCTTGCGCACAGGGGTGTAAATCTCCTCAGGACCCCTTAGCAGCTTAAGGGTTAAGTATACCTGACAGGGCCAGACATCTGAGTGGACAGTGCTTCAGATTCGTAGTCTGAGGTTCCGGGTTCGATCCCCGGTGGAGGTGGAAACAAATGGGCAGAGTTTCTTTCACCCTGATGCCCCTGTGTTTCTTAGCAGTAAATAGGTACCTGGGAGTGAGACAGCTGCTACGGTTCTGCTTCCCGAGGTGTGTAACAAAAAGGAGGCCTGGTCGAGGACTGGGCTTGATGATGATCCAGGGCAGACTGAAACATTGTGGTGTCCTGATCTTCTAGTATGTGGTTTAGTCCTCATGTTTCTCAGTTCCAGAAGCCATTTTGTAGCATGTTATTGCACCTTTTCCAGTTTCCTTGTGTGCTTCTTGAGATCTGGGCACAATACAACTGCTGCATATTTCAATTTTGGAATATGCAGCAGTCATGGAATATGACCATATCTCTTGGATCCAATATTTTTTCTCACTTCATCATGTTGGTACAGTACAGTATATACAAATTTCACGAACATGTTCCCTTTCACTTTTATTCCCTATTTCTCTTAATGATTTTGTTTGTTTTCATGTACCATTTCACTAGCTTTCCAGTCCCAAACACTGTAGAATTTTTTTTTCTTCATTTCTATTAACATTTAGACATTTTGCTTCATCAAGGTTCATTATCGGCTTTTCTCTGCCTTCTTTTGAAAGGTTTTCTTGACAAAGTTTGCCATCCTCATCACTGCAATTTGCTTTTAAAGTGTGGACCACTAAATTTTTTATCATTTTAACATCGATTAGCAACTTTGCACATCTTAACACTTTTGCTATCCCGGCATGCGTGCTGCAAACTTAGAGGTCACTCTCCCAGCGTGCGGGCAAGCGTGCGGGCCAGTGCTCGGCGACACCGAAATGTGTATACTCGTTTGTTTTCTCACCTTAATTCTCATGCTACGTTGTTTATTTTGGTACCATTGTGTTCTCAATAGAATTCCCTATAGGTGTATATGCATATAATGTCCAAAACCCTGGCGTGACTTCCCACAGCAAAGCCTAAAGACGGCAAAAGTTACCCGTGAGTGCACAAAATCAGTAAAATGTGTATACTCGTTTCAGTTTTCTCACCCTAATTCTCGTGCTACGTCATTCGTTTTGGTATCTGTGTTTGCAATTAAATTCCGTGCAGGTGTACATGCATATAATGTCCAAAAGCCCGGCGTGACTACCCAGAGCAAAGCCCAAAGTTACCCGTGAACGAACACCAATTTGCACACAGCGGCCTAATGTCTATACTCGTTCAGTTTGACATCAATTTTCATCTTGCATCTTTCATTTTGGTATCAAATTGTTCGCAATATAAAGGCAGGCACGTTTTTTGAAACTATTCCCACAATAATAGAGCAATAACTTGAATTTTACCAAATATTTTGTTTGGACGCTCATCATCACAAAATTATTTATATCTTTCCAGTGTTCTGACATACATTTTCATGTTACATCTTTCATTTTGGTATGAAATTGTTCGCAATTAAAAGGCGCGTATTTTAAAACTAGTCCCATAATAATAACATAATAAATAGAATTTTAACAAATATTTTAAAATTTTGCCAACAATGTATTTATAATCTTTAAAGTGTTCTGACATCAAGTTTCATGTTGCATCTTTCATTTTGGTATTAAATTGTGCGCAATTTAAAAGCGCTCATTTTGAAACTATCCCAAAGTCGATCGGATAAAATTTTAATTTTATACAAATATTTTATTGTTGGACGCAAATGATGTCACAAGATAGGACTCAGCAGAAAAGTTGGCAACGCATTATGTGTCACGAGATAAGGAAAGTGTTAAATTTTTCTAGTCATTCGTTCTGGTCCAAACTAACTTGCAACTTTTTCTTTGTAGGTGCTATGGAGAACTGGGGTTTGGTGACATATAGAGAAACTTGCCTACTGGTAGACCCGGACAACACCAGTGCCAGCCAACGCCAGTGGATTGCACTGGTTGTTGGTCATGAACTTGCTCATCAGTGGTTTGGTAACCTTGTGACAATGGTGAGTGTATGATTGGAAATTTATTTGGGAAATTTATTACTCTGTATTGAAATTAGTGATCCGAATGCTGGACTATACTCTGCTGGTTTCATTGATTTTTTTCAGTGACTAGTCATAACTCGTTTTGTTTCATTCTGAACTTGCTCCTATGTCTTTAAAATATAACCTTTTACCTTTTGTAGTTTTGTCACTTGGTAAAATGTACTTGAATTAGCCTTTGTGTTTATCAAAGATTAACATTTATTTCACAATGGAACTACCAAGGTATATGTACTACAGTACAGTATAAAAATGTAAGTACTGCATAAAGGAAACTGTGTACGAATTTAATGTTCCAAAACTGCAATGTAATCCAAATATGTGCACAGAATCGAATTTTCCCACAAGAAATAGTGTAAATTGAATTAATCTGTTCCACACGCTCCAAAAATATTAACTTAAAAATGCATTTTACCCAGAATACTACTTGCATTTTTTCATACACAAAATAATAAGGTATTAATATGAACTGAAAAAACAAAAAAAAGGAACTTTAAACTGCGCTTTACCTGTACTGAGGACTCTTGTTGGCGTATGGAAGACAGTGAGGATGGGGGAAGGAGGAGAGGTGTTAGTATTTGGAAGAGGAGTCCCCTTCCATTATAAAATCAGGCAGTGATGACATTTCTGGGGTGCTCGCTCTGTTTTATAGGTATACCACTAGGACCTGGTTGTGGCTCACTGGATTTTTTTGTCTCGCTAAGAATCTGTCTAAAGACACATGTTTTTTCCTGTTTTAACAATTGTTTGTAGGGAGTAATCACATTGTCATTTAAAATATTAACAAAATGGCTTGCTACAGCTTATAGCGAACAACTAAGCTGGTATAGTGAGTCCAGACAGTAAAAGGTGGTCATACAGTCAGCAGACAACGCTACCTCCCTCCCTCCCTCCCCACCAAGATCACTCCTCCCACTACAACACTAATTATCACAACAATCCTGCTATTATCAGAATCCTGGTCATTTTTATCAGTCAGGGATCTTCTGTAATACTATCATTGCTAAATAATAGCATGTACATATATATTATGGTTTTTTAGGTGATGCTGTGGTCACAAGCTGAACAGCAGTGCTGTGAGCTTGTGCTGCGTGCATCAGCCTTGGTGGCTCACTTAAGTACTGAGGTCCTCACACCCAGGAATGTGACCCACGATTTTTGTTTAAAATGGCGTCTTTTTTTACAAGAGCCTAGTTGAAGGTGAGGTGAACCCCGTGTTTCCGCGGGCCGTTTAAATCTTGCGTAGTACTCCAACACGTCATGTGACGTGATGCGCACTTTTGGGTAAGTTACTCAACATGTCATATGACGTGTTGTGCAGTTTAAGGGTTAAATGCTGGTTTTCTGGGGGGGAGCCCCAATGGCTTCCCGGAGCTACTTCACTCACCAAAGACGAAAAAGGAAAGGGACCCACCCAGTAGGCGGTTGGTGCTCGACATCGAGACAACAGGTTGCAACAGCTAACCCAAAGCGACACTGGCCTGACTAGGCCCCGGAACATTAACAAGGTAGCATGCAGCCAGGACCCTGGTCGACCGCCGAAAACCCTGTGCCCGAATATCAGCCCAGGACATGTTACTAAAGACAGCATCAAGCGCAGCAAACGTACGAACATCATGGGCACGGGGATAGACCGCAAGCTGGCTAGACTGAATAACCCTGAGGACGACCAGAGAGGACCCGCATCCGAGAACCGGGAAGAAGGGAGAGAAACCGGCCTTCCTCCCTGGTTTCTCATTGTGATCACGTAATCATGGATGACTTAGCTCTAAATTGGGATTTTGTGACCAGTGCTCACCAAGCCTTCTTTTTCTTTGGACACACAGAACAGTGTGCAAGTTTATAGCATTTGTCTATGGAGGGTTTGTCTTCCACCAGGCTCTGTAATTCTGCTCCATTCAGACTGTTCCATGGTGGTTTATTTGCTGAACCATGGGGGAGGATAATGGGGTCACTTTGGTCTTTTACCCTTTAGAGCTTGACTGCATATAGTTCAGCTTTTGGATTCCTGGGGTTTGGTTCTCTGTGTGGTTCATGTACAGGATGTGTTCAATGTTCTCATGGACACTTTCACTTCCGCCTAGTTTCCATTGAGTGGACCTTTGATAACAAGTCCTTCTGTTGGCTCTGCAAGATGTTTGGTTGCTCTGAGGTGGACCTCTTTGTGTAGGTGTGGAACCAGTGGCTTAACACTTATGTGGCCCAGTTTCCCAATTGTGAGGCTTTTACTAGATGCCTTTTGGCTGGACTGGTCAATTTGGGGGTTCCTCTACCCCTCCTCCTGGGTTTAATTGTTGCTTGGAGTGTTGTTCCTGTTGGAAACTTAGCAAGGTGATCATTTTGGTTTCCTGGTAGCCGGCTTACCCTTAGTTTCTGGCACAGTGTCCAAATCTGGGTGTTTTTCCATGGCTTTGCCTTTTACAGCAGTGATGTACCTTGCTGGTTCGATGTATTCTGCTGATCAATGCAACTGAACTTTCGTACGAAAGTCTATCACCAATTGTATGGTGCATAGATGGCAGAGATGTTGGTTCCCACCTGTTCCCACCCTTGCAGTGATAGTATGAAATTTCTTGGTGCCCCTTTTGCCTGTTTTATTGTCTGTGTCCTTTCCACTGGTTTTGTCCTTGGTCTTGTTTTGTTTATTTGCTTTTATATTCCTAATACTGTTGCCTATTATCGTTTGACCTTGGTGGAGCTGCTGCTGTTGATGTTTGGGGTTGAATGTTTCCTCTCTGCCATTTCATATGTTGTCTTCTATTACCTCTGGCTGACTGTTATGGCTTATTGTTACCAATGGCTTCCACTTGCCAAGATTTTTGCCTGTACCCTCACCTCAGCATATGCTAAGGAAAAATTTAGTCTACACATCTGGGTAATATTCAGTTTGAGGGAAAACTGTGGTAATTTTTCAAAAAGTATAATCTATCATCCGTACCAAGAATTAAATACTGTAGTATAACCAAAAAATTACTACAGTATAAGGTTCGGTAAATTAATATGTCCCATTATTCAAAATGTTGCAAGACCACCAAAGACTGGATACCCAACATTGATATTAAGAGACAAAGTACAAAAAATTCTACCTAGATTTAAAAGCTACCTATTAAATCATGAAAAATTGTGATGTATAATTTACTTGATGTATAATTTAAATCGCTTATAATAGTTAATTCGGTTATTACTTCCAATTCAATATAAATGATAATATGACACACATTGTTATATCTGGCATAATAAATTATTACTTGGCCATAAACACAATAAGGAGTTTGACTAAAATTTATCAGCTCTGATGTCCACTGAACCTCTGATCATTTTTGAGAGCTGGCCAGCTCTCTTGAAACAGTGTTAGATTGTCATAATGATTTTTCCTCTACTAATTAAATGATCACAGTTCATCACTAGCAGGTGTAAAAGACACAAGTGATCATGTAATATATTTCTAACAACCTAAATGCATCATTTGAGGCTTGTAGTCAAATTGATGGCAGCCTGAAAGATACTAGTCTGGAAGAATTTAGACACGACAGTGTTGCATCAACGGTTAGACAGCAGTGCTAGAACACGGGGGAATTCTCAGGGGAATTGACAGGGTGGACAAAGACAAACTCTTCAGCACGGGTGGAACACGAACAAGGGGACACAGGTGGAAACTTGGTACCCATATGAGCCACAGAGATGTTAGAAAGAATTTTTTCAGTGTCAGAGTAGTTAATAAATGGAATGCACTAGGAAGTGATGTGGTGGAAGCTGATTCCATACACAGTTTCAAATGTAGGTATGATAGAGCCCAGTAGGCTCGGGAATCTGTACACCAGTTGATTGACGGTTGAGAGGCGGGACCAAAGAGACAAAGTTCAACCCTCACAAGCACAACTAGGTGAGTACAGGCTTCGTTGTGATGATGGGCCTTATAGAACCCTAAACCAGTGTAAATATGCAGGTCTGTGTAATGCCATTATGTTATTTGTTATTGTAAGACATGGCACTTAGGTTTTTAAAAGATTATTACTGTCAAAACAAAGATCACCTTTCTGGGTGTCTTTAGTCAGCACTGTTTGGTGAGACTGTCCATGCAGCTTGTGTTCCTTGACATTGTTTAAACTCCAAGCCAATGAGCTGCCGGCAGGTTTAAAGAAAATCTTTTTCTTTTTATGATTTAAATCGATGTTTTCTTGTGCTATAACTGCTGTATATAAATGATGTATATTTATGATGCATGAAGTTGTTAACAGATTTAATATAACAAGCTATTATCTTAAAAAAAAGGAATATTGGCCTACTAATGTGGATTATCATAAGTTTTCTAAGCTGAGAGCATTCTTCGTGGTTTTTCAAGTTAATTCTAATTAATTCCTAAATGATTTAGGCTTTAAACACACTAGAAATGCTTTGATGTTGGTTTGATATAATCTACTTTTAAGAAATTGTATTAGGAATATATACTAATCTTTTAATAGAGAACTCGTACCTCTGGCATCTTAAGCGGAAGTTACATCTTTTGATGATTCGGGATATAACAAAATGCTTCTTGTTCATTCCTGAATTCTGGCCGGTGTAATAACCCCATGACTTATGGATTTCAGTTTAATTATTTTTATTGAGAAAACAGTGGAATTTATTTCACATGTGAAGACTATCTTAATTTAGTTTGAGATTCAAATTACCAAGGTTCCACTACAGTGTACACTATTAAATCCATAATATTCATCATTTTGGCCGAGACTACATATACAACTTGGCCAAAAAAATTTTTGCCTAATTTTAGTTTAAAAGAAGTATTAATGTTGAAAGACCTCTTGCACATGTAAAGTAAAGTAGGTTTTAAGAGCACATTTGTGTAGTTTTGATACTTAATTTTGATTTTATTGCAGGAATGGTGGACTCATCTGTGGCTTAATGAAGGCTATGCTACCTTTGTTGAGTTCTTGTGTGTGGATCATTTATTCCCAGAATATGACATTTGGACACAGTTTGTCACAAATGCATACATTCGAGCACTGGAACTAGACTCTCTCAAGAATTCACATCCCATTGAAGTACCTGTTGGTCATCCCTCTGAAGTTGATGAGATTTTTGATGACATATCTTATTCTAAGGGTGCCTCTGTTATTCGTATGTTGCATTGTTACCTAGGAGATAAGGTAAATTTTTGTAGAATATTCTTGCAATGTAGTTTTATGGTAAATTTTTCTTTAAAAATCTATGCTTTATGCCTTCTTTTAATAATGATGATTTTCTTTAAAGAAATTTAATTTAGAAAAAGTTGTGTAGAAACCAAACTAATTTCACAAATGTTTATTTCTCTTCGTAATTCATGTTAAACATAACTGGCATTACAGTCGAGGAAAAGTATTCCTTTACCCCTCAAATCAGTGGAACGTGCAAAATGGTTAACCCTGCGTTTGTTGTAGTAATGGATTAAGTTATGACTAAATTTCATTGGTCAAACCACCACACACCAGTTTATATAATTCACACTGCTATTGAAAGGAATAAACTGGAAAAGGTGCAACGATACGCTACAAAATGGCTTCCGGAACTGAAAAACAAGAGTTACGAGGAGAGACTGGAGGTGTTAAACATGCTAAAATTAGAAGATAGAAGAAAGAGGTGATCTGATCACTGCTTATAAAATACTAACAGAAATCAACCAAATTGACAGAGGAATTCTTGAAATCAACAACTTCACAAACAAGGACACAGAATCAAGCTAAGGAAACAAAGGTGCCAAAACAAATTGGAAAGTTTTTCTTTTGCAAAGAGTGGTAGACTAAGTGAGAAGGTGGTGGCTAAAACCGTCAGTACAGTAGTTTCAAAGTGTTATACGGTAGAGTATTGAGAAGATGGGATACCACGAGCGTAGCTCTCATCCTGTAACTACACTTAGGTAGTTACACACACACACTCACAGACAGATGCAGCAGTCTCTATGGGGGTTCATATTGCAGCCATTGTTAAGGCCACTCTGGAAGGTCAATGTTAAGTTGTTCAGCTAACCATTGCCTAACAATCCGAGTATTATGGATGGAGCAATTATCCTGTTAAATGATCCATAAAACGAATTAACATTAGCTATTAGCAATTCAGGGCAAATATTTAATGACATTTTGAGGTTAAGTTTAACAGAAAACTAACCCAGTAAAATAAATGGACAATGACAAAACCTGACTAACAATATTGATTGAAAGGTAGGATTGTTAGCCTGTTTGGTGGTAAATCTTTATTAAATAAACAATATAACACCTACATGAATATTATTTGCTCAGGGTAGTGAAGAGCATCTTTGAGTACAGAATGCACCATCACTTCCTCCAAAATCTCATGTGTCAGCATTGAAGTGTTGCTGAATATCAGCAAGTTCTCCTATGTCATATAAATGAATCCACTCCCATACATTGCACGATATATAACCACTCCTAGCAATTTTATATATAAACTACTGTTCATATCTGTGTTGTTGGGATGCCAAGTGGAATTTGCCATGAGTCACTGATGCAAATGTTCTCTCATCACTGGAGAGAGATCACTCTCACACACACACACACACACACACACACACACACACACACACACACACACACACACACACACACACACACACACAAACACACACACACGTGTGTATCTGTGTCACTCACATTATTTGGTCAACTATACGTACTATTATGTATAGTTATGCAGCACCTAGGTAATTTAATTTAATAATAGTTGTTCTCAGGAATCAAATACACACATGTGTCACTAGACAAATGCCAACATGTAAAATTAACATGCCATACCTCGTTTACATAAAAGATGAATAAACTTAAGCATAAATGTAAAATGTAGAGCCATCTCCTGTTTTCACTAATCTATATATGTTAATATTTATTCACTGTTCTGCACTATTTTCCTTTTGATAGCAGTGTGAATTATATAAACCGGTGTGTGGTGTTTTGACCAATGACTCGTCGTTACAAAGCGCCTATTCATTCATAATCTAACCCAATACTATGACAACAAAAAATGTGATTCTGCACTTTCCAAGAAACTGGGGGGTAAAGGAATACTTTTTCTCGACTGTACATAGTCATAACTTTGTTGCAGGATTTCAGAACTGGAATGAATATATATCTAACGCGTCATCAGTATGGAAACACTTACACGGAGGACTTGTGGGCAGCTCTGAGTGAGGCATCGAGTAAGCCAGTGGGAGACGTGATGAGCACATGGACCAAACAGACTGGGTTCCCTATGATTTCTGTGGCATCACACCAGGATGGAGACAACAGAGTACTCACTCTTACACAACAGAGATTCCTAGCTGATGGCTCCTCAGGTAGTTTGAGCTTAATATTGCAGTAATTATATTGAATCAAAAGTATTGATATGCAATTTTTGTGATAGTTACAAACTAACATGGAGAAAGGATATTTTCATACTTGGCAAAACTTGCTGGAAATGATGGTTTAACAGTTGCATCACCACTGGTGCAATCAGCCTGGTATTCTATACATTTTCATGGTTTGGGGGATTGACCAGGGGACCCATCTTCCTTAAATTTCTCCCTATTTACATGTAAAAGTATCAGGTTATTAAAGCTCAATTGTGCCTTGCCCACCCCCCCTTCATTTCCATCCTTCCTGTACTTGCTTCACTTCATTAAAGTAGGGAAATGGAGTGTGATGACTTATGGCAATTTAATTTATTAGTTATATATTAGATCGAGATGATACCTGTACTTCCTTTAACCTTTAACTGTGCATCACGTCATACAACGTGTTGGAGTACTACGCAAGATTTAAACAGCCCGCGAATACACGGGGTTCCCCTCGCCTTCATCAGGGCTCTTTGTCAACAGACGCCATTTAAAAAAAAATCTTAGGCCACATTCCCGGGTGTGAGGTCCTCAGTACTGAGTGAGCCACCAAGGCTGGCGCACGTAGCATGAGCTCACAGCACTGCTGTTCAGCTTGTGACCACAGCATCACCTAAAAATGCCATAATATATATGTACATGCTATTATTTAGCGATGATAGTATTACAGAAGACCCCTGACTGTGATAAAAATGACCAGGATTCTGATAATAGCAGGATTGTTGTGATAATTAGCACTGTAGTGGGAGGAGTAATCTTGGTGGGGAGGGAGGTAACGTTGTCTGCTGACTGTGTGACCACCTTTTACTGTCTGGACTCACTATACCAGCTTAGTTGTTCGCTATGGTGAACAAAACATGCAGATACTTATATATAACATAAGTATATAGTGAATAAAAGCAAGTATGGTGGGAAGAGAATGGTGGTGAGTCAGGTGAGGTTAGGGAGGGAGCGAGTGACAGCCAGTGGCGGGCTGCCACTGCCACTCAGCATACCAACTTAGTGGTTCGTTATGGTGAACACAAATGTAGATATATATAACGTGTATATATAGTGTAATAACAGCAAAAGGAGTGTGGGGAGAAGCCATTTTGGTGAGGGAGGTGGCGACATCTGCATGATTTATCATGCTGGGTAGGGGTGGCCACTATGCTCTTTGGGCACTATACCAGTTTAGATGAACAGTTATGGTGAACAGAACATGTAGATATTTATATATAACGTCTGTATATAGTGAATAAAAGCAAGAACAGTATGGTGGGAGGAGGATGTGGGCGAGTGAGGAGTCATTGAGGGAGTGGCAGGGAGTAGCTGATTGGCAGATGTGGTGGCCACACCTTGCTGCTTTTTGACTTGCAATATCAACTTAGTGTTTCGTTATGGTAAACAAAACATGCAGATGCATATATATAACCTGTGTATATAGTGTTATAACTGACAAAGTATTTGTTTATTGCTTTATGAACACAATAATTGAATCAATAATATGCACACCATAATTTTGAGTACAGCGATAATTCACACATTATTATATAAATATATCACACTACACACTATTGAATAATATTACAGCAAAAAACGAAGAAACATCAATCGGAGACATTGAAATAATTAGGTAATTGTCTCTTTGTGGCTACTCCTGCCTGACAGCTGGGGCTGAGCAGACTGCCTCGGACGCACGCCGAGTCAGTGCCTCTCTTTTTTTTTTTTGCCAGACTTCCCCGCCCTATAGCAGGCAAAATATGCCACTTACGATTTTTTTATTTTTTCCATGATCAGGGAACCCAAATTAACAGGTTTAGAAGATTTTTTTTTTATGCTCCTGTGGGTGACAATGACCAAATAGCCCTTAGCAACACAAGGGTTAAATAGTTTTGCTGATTCTAGGGAATGTCACTCGACACCTCTGGTGACAATTTGCTATATTGGAAATATCCAAAGAGCCTTAATTTCATTCCTGACCCTTGTTAAAAAAAAAGAAGAAGAAATAGTTGAATGTAATTAACCCCTTAACTGCGTTGCCTCCAAATATGACACCCCCCCCCCCCAGTGCGCAGGAAATAAATTCTCTGGATATATATATATATATATATATATATTTTTTTTTTAAAGAGCACACCTCTATGTGCTCTACGTTATTCTCTGGAATTCTTATTGTGTCTGGTTACCTGAAGATCTCATCTTGTACAAACACACTTTGGAACTTTTCGTTTAATGTTTCAAATACAGTGCTGTATTTCCATTTAATTTTCCGTGTATCTGTCCCCCATTTTCAACCTCTGAATATTATCCTTTACCTGCAGCTTGGTTTGGTCAACATTTCTCAGCCACGTTATTGTGACGTCATCTGCTCCTAGATGATTTTTTCTGTCCGTTTCGTGAAGGACTTCCTCTCTCATTCGGTATCCAATGTCTGGCCTCCTATTTCTTCTGCCTCGTTTCATCACCTTATTCAACCCAAGTTCAACTTGGGTTGAACTTTAGTAGCCATTTGTTGGATCATTCCTTCAGTTTATCTAGGTCATCTTGTAGTCTACTATACTATCTTTTTCTGCCATAATCCTCCTCATAATTTTTGCATCATCAGCAAACATTGAGAGGAACGAGTCTATTCCCTCTAGGAGATCATTTACATATAAAAAAAACGGTATAGGTCCAAGGACTGATTCCTGTGGTAGTCCACTGGTGACACCTCGTCACTCAGAGACCTGGCCCCCCCCCTCACAGTGACTCGCTGTCTTCTGTTGCTTAGGTACACCTTTATTCAGTGGATTACCTTCCTTTTCACTCCTGCCTGCATCTCCAGCTTGTGCACTAATCTCTTATGTGGTACTGTGTCAAAGGCTTTCTGGCAATCCAAAAATACACAGTCTGCCCAGCCCTCTCTATCTTGCCTGATTTGTGTTGCCTGATCATAGAATTAAATTAATCCTGTGAGGCATGATTTGCCACCCCTGAACCCATACTGATGTGTTACTAAAGTTCTTTCGCTCCAGATGTTCCACTAGATTTTTTGCACAATCTTTTCCATCATTTTACATGGTATGCAAATTACGGACACTGGCCTGTAGTCCAGTGCTTCCTATCACCCCTCTTGTATATTTAGACTACATTGGCCGTCTCCCAAATTTTTGGCAGTTCACCTGTTACCAGTGATTTGTTGTACACCATGGATAGTGGCAGACACAGAGCTTCTACTAATTCCTTTAGTATCCATGTGTGTGCAATACCATGTGTGTGCAATACCATGTGTGTGCAATACCTTGTGTGCAAGGAAAAAAAAAGTGTGCCAATCAGAAATGCATAGTGCTGCTATCACACATCTGGGCATATACATGTTTCACCTTGTGTGAAAGCAAGAAATAATGAACTAAATGGTAAGAGAAATTGCAGGGTGGCATATCTCCCTATCACTAGTAACCACATTACCCTGGTAAACAACCCAGTCCTCCATCTTCCAAAACTAATTAACTTTAAATCTCTGCCATAACTCCCTGCCGTGGTTTAGCTGTTATACTTGTGGTTCTTGGGTGCTAATTAAGTGTTTTTTCATGTGAGGTGTATGGCATAGCATATTGGCATGCAGTGTTAGGGTTAAGGTAGTGAAATTGTCATTCAAATCTTCAGTTTAATTATTTGTAAGACAAAATACACACACAGTATATGCTGTTACTGTAAAATTAAGTGCTGCATGACAAGTATGCTTATTATGCAGTACAGAGGATGATGTGGCAAAATTTTTTTAGGGACAACTGAATGCAGAGGCACTGGGACTGGGTGACACTTTAGTGAATTTTTACACAAATACACAAACAAAAAATGTTTGGCTTGATGGTGTCAAGGGTTGCAAAAGTTGTGATTTAGTGAAGCTGAAAATTTACTTGTAAGCATTGTGGTAGAACAGTATATATTTTTATATATTGGCCTATACAGTATCATGTTAATTTTTATTAATCTATTTAATAATCTACTTGTTGCAGGAGATGGTAGTTTGTGGATGGTTCCAATTAGCATTTCAACAGAAAAAAATCCAGCAAAAACGATAAAAAAAGTGTTGCTTGAAAGCAAGACAACCCAAGTGGTACTGGAAGGTGTGTCTGAAAATACTTGGGTCAAGTTAAATCCAGGAACTGTGGGATATTATAGGTAAGCAGATGTGTATCCTTGTTAGGTTTTGTAAATCTTGTCTTTGTAGAGGGAAGTGCTAAAGGTAAAAATGTGGGCATTAAAAGATGATTGTCTTGAGACAGTCTTGAATTTTAAATGGTATTTATTCCCTCTTAGTAAAAGAGACTTGATATAATTAACGTCAATGCATTTTATATACTTCTGATTTAACAGGGTGGCAATGCCAGCATGATGTGCATTAGAAATACAATTTTATGTTTAACCACTGTGATGCACGGAGTTTATTGTGACATTCCCCCTGTGCACATAAAATCGGGTGTTCGCAACAAATATTTTGATCTTTGTAAAATGATAAATTCCCTTCCTTGAACACATACATATAAACAAAAAAAATTCCACTTACTTTCGCTCTGGGGACATGGAAAAAGGGGCCTGGTCGCCCGTGCGTGAAGCTCCCAGAGGCGGTCGAGTGTTGCCACAAAAATAATTTCAATTATTTGTTCTATGTAAATACTTATTTTTATCATATATGATGCATGTTTGTGTCATTTACAATATGTATACAGTAGAACACTCATAATGTTTCATGGAACTGTGATACATGTCAGTAATATGTCCAAAATAAATGTTTATTGTCGCAATATTACTTGTTCAAAATTCACTAAAATTTTAATATGTACAGTTTCACACACTTTACACAGTAACATAGTACTGTATTACACACACTCAATACTTCGGAAGTGAGGGATAATCAACGTAGTAGTCCATGGTACACAGCGCAACTTCGCTCTCGTTGCACCAAATACAGATAGATTTTCTCTTCCCGATTCTTCGTTCTGTGTGCTTGCAAATAACGCACTAACATACACCGTTGACTTTAGTACCTGTAGGTGGTATGTAGCCAAGCTTGTGAAGCGTAAGGTAATCTTGAAAGGATTATAGGAAAAGATAATTTTGTAAGGTAGTCTTGAAAAGAATTCTTTGAAAGGTCCTCACTGGAAAAGATTCAGGTATTCTGGAAGAGATTCAGCTATTCTTGAAAATATATATGGTAAACACTACCATGGAAGCGGCTAACACTGTTCATCTATGCTACTAGTATCAGATGCATCATCACTGAACCCAGAAAACGATTCTTCTATGTATCATCTATAAAAATTGGAGATGGCATGGGTGGGCAAGGGTGGTGCTCAGAGCTACAACTGGATACGCTTGCTGTATTGTCCTCATCGGTGTTGTATCACTTGCATCCAACCTTCGTGTTAGGTCCTTATTGCGCCTAACTTCATAAATATCATGACCCTTATGTTCTTTAAACAATAAGGTCTGAATTTCACCGACAGGTTACCTTGAGGTGCTTCCGGGGCTTAGCGTCCCCGCGGCCCGGTTGTCGACCAGGCCTCCTGGTTGCCGGACTGATCAACCAGGCTGTTGGACGCGGCTGCTCGCAGCCTGACGTATGAGTCACAGCCTGGTTGATCAGGTATCCTTTGGAGGATAAAGGATCAACAGAGAGCGATCTTTCAACACAGCGTCGAACAGGTGTTTGGGAGCCAGAGGCGCGTGCGCCATCCATGGTTGCTTATGCAGTACTAACTCAGCCAGCAACCCTAGGACATTCTAGGAATTTTTTCCAAGATGGCTGCCTCACACTTGAGGTCCCAAGAGTCCATTTCGTACACAACCTACTGCGCATGCGTTTTTGAATGGGTACAAAATATTTGAAAGGTGTTTCTCTGTTGGCACATTTCCCACTGACCAAGTTTTCTCGTTTGGGGCAGCATAGTGGTTAATAATAAAATGTAAAAAATAAATGTGAAATTATATGGCGAATGATTTCTCACTGTCCTTTACACTTTCTGTAAATGTCACTTCACCTTACAAAATCAGAATTGGTAACCTGTGTGTTTTGCTACCATCCACTGAGCTTTTCATCCTCTTTGCCCACAAAACAAAAACATGCCTAATTAGCAAAGTTTCAAAAATGGTAAACTCCTATAATATACATTGCTGGTATGATTTATGAAAGATATCTAAAAAGCTGGAAAATATACAGAAAAAATATATACAGCACAGGTATACAGTATTTTAATACAGTATACAGTAGAGTATATATTTTCTTTCATTTTACAAGTTTTAATATTGGAATATATTATGCACCCTGTGAGCAGTAGAAAGTGTTAGATACACATAACGGGTTCAGGATCTGAACCCTATTGTTCATTTAGCTAAGCTAGTATGTACTTGCCTAATTGTACTCGCCTAGTTGCCTTGCTGTTGCTTTGGGTTCTGGCTCATTAGACTTACCAGGGAAGAATAGTCCTGGTGGCCCCTTGGTGGCTGGCCCAGCCCTGATTTCAGGTGCTGCTTGCTCAGTGTCTGAACTCGGGGATTTTTCCGTGGCTCCACCCCTTTCAGCGGATCGGGCTAGTCCGGTACGTGGCTGGTTCAATCTTCTCCTTCGGTCTTCGCGTCTGGTCTTTCTGACACGGGTTTATCACCTCTTGTATGGTGATAAGTTGGCTTCGTAGATGGTGTCCCACCTGCGTGTTTCGTCTTGGCAACAGTATGAATTCTTTTGGCAGTCTTTTCGTCACTTTTTGTCCCTAAGTAGGTCGTCTTTGGTTTCAGGTCACATTTTTTGTCTTTTCTCACTTAACTGTTTTGGGACCGTCATCTTATGGCACATGATGTTGCCTCGTATCATGCGGCACTGGCAGAGCCGCTCTTGCTTGTGTTCGGGGTGAGTGTTACTTCCGCTCCATTTCGCAAGCTGTCTTGTGCGTTGTTTCATCTCCAGCCTTTCATCTTTTCGCCTTGGTTTGTGGTGGCCCTTTTGGTTTGGGACTGTGATGATAAGGCTCTTTTTCTTGTTGTCATTGGCCTCTGGGGGTCGGGTAGGGAAGCTTCATGCTCTTCTCCGGCACAGGGGTTTGTTCCCTCGTGTAACCCTCGTGGTCCCCGGTAGGCTAGAACTCCAATCGAATTTAATGCCGCCATGTTCTATTACATACATATCTGGCCGGTATAGCTCTGGGGAGCCCCTGGAACTGAAATGGCATTTTGTTACATTCAATTTTTTTTTTTTTTATATACTTGCACACCAGTAATTAGGCTGCTAAGGATTGTCAGTTTTGTCCTAGTTATTACTTTTATGTAATGTTTTGGTTTGATCAGCCTTTGGGAAAACAAATTTACCATCTAGGAAAATCTAACCTGGATATGGGCAAGTTACTCTGTGATCCTGCTCTACTTTCCTCATTGCTAAATTTGCTTGTTTTGTTGAGTTGCTCTATCTGAGGTCTTGAGTTTGAACAACATAAGAATAATATACTTCATTCTGCTAATTATTCCATATAGACGTACATATTTGGCAAGCTGAATTTGCTTGCTAAATATATTTACCTGAGGGCCAATAATACTAGTGGCTTCAATGAAGACAGGAAGCTGGCGGCTTGTCAAAGGTCTCCCATTTGCCTTAATTGTTAAATTTGAAAATCCAACTTGAAAAAATTATCATTTGCGGCTTCGGCGGGTAAGCGATTCCATGGGTTTATAATCCTGTGGGTGATCAAGCATCTTCTGTTCTCAGTCCTACATTGTGGCTTATTGAGCTTGAAACTGTTGCACCTTGTTTGTTAAATTGTCCGGAACAACATATGTATAGGTCCAAATATGTAGTTATATCTTGTATTTCTGGTTAAACTTGCAATTTAGATGGTAAATAATTTATATTTTTTAGATAACTCCACAATAAGATTTTTTATGCTCCGCTATAATTATAAAATAAGTTTTCCCCATTGTGTGTACACCCTATTGGTCAAGATTTCTGCAGAGGTGATCTTGACTAGTTGCTCATTGAAGGGGAAAGTATTCGATGGAAGAGAACGCAAAACTGGAAATGTAGATCCTATCTGACACGTTACCTTTGAATTTAATTCATTAATGTAGTTAAAAGCATGGAAAGCGTTTGGATGTTAAAAATGTTAGGATATTTTAGGATAAAACATGAATAAGCTACATTTGCCTGTTGACTCTTAAATTACCATTCTCCAGAGTTCAAATTATGTATTTGGGGCCGATTTTTCTATTTTCTTTTGATTATAGGACTCGGTACACTCCTGAGATGCTGACTCAGCTCGTCCCAGCAATGAAAACAAAGTGCCTTCCACCTCTTGATCGGCTTGGTGTGTTTGACGATCTTTTCTCTATGGTAAGTACATTAATGTAATCTAAGATTTTAGTTTCTAAGAGGGAACTTGTTATTAATGTTGTTAACGTTTTGATTAACTAGTTCCCCAGCTGAGCAGGAAGGAGGTAAAAGTTATCCTGAGATACAGTGATCCTTGCATAGTCGTACTAGGGTTGTTTTACCATACTTAGGCCACCAGTGCCTTTAAAAAACTGGACCATTAGATACATAAAAACTGCAGAAGGGTGTTGAACTTCATATTTGAGAGTTGTCTTTATATTTGAGCATGTTATGGCAATTTGAAGAGTACAGATGGAATAAAAATTTACATTTTTTCCCCACTTTGTGTTTATGCTTGCAAAAATAAGAATAGTATATATAATTAAATTGTAGAATGACATGTAGAAGAAACCCAGCATCGAATTTAATGAAACGTTGATTTCTAGATAAGCCCTGCACGCTTCCCTAAAGTTATCTTGCTGATCAAGTGCCATACTTTTTTGAGTATCATCAATCACAGAGTTCTTGTATTGCCTACCGGAGACCATGAGCCAGAACCTGGCCCCCTCAGAAAGATGCAGGGCGCAATGGCCCATGAACACTTTACATTTAAAATATGTCATCTTGCCATAGACCGGGGAACCACTGCTTTTTCATATAGACAAAATTATTAGCCACGGCTTTGTGTCATCCTTTGCAGTTGATATGAAAATTGTCTCTGGAAGATACTGAAAACTAAAGGCCAATATTAATTAAGTCTTCAATTGGGCAATGGAAAATATTACAAGTGATAAGATGCAGGTACTTTCTTTGGTATGGCAGAAATAATAAATTTAAACAAAATACAAAGTTTAAGACACAGATAGACTTACTCATAGAAAGAAAACAACATATTACATTTAGGAATTATGTCTGATGACCTGACATTTAGTGAACATAACCAAGCAAATATAGCATCAGCCAGGAAAATGATAGGATGGTTTATGAAAACATTCTAATTGAGGGATCCTACAGCAATGTTAATACTATACGCACAAATCACAATAGCGTGATATATCAAATGAATAAATCCACAAGGGCCGTGATGAAGGTTCAAACTTACGTCCAGGATGATCCCAGACGCTCCTTAATTGAATGAGCCACAACAAGGTCAAAAGAATTGCAACTGGGATTGCTACTGCTCTCGCACAGATCCTGCAGTCTGCATAATGGTAGATCCCTGAGAGACTGCGGGATCCGTGTGAGAGCAGTTGCAATCCCAGTTGCAATTCTTTTGACCTTGTGGCTCATTCGATTACGGCGCGAATTCTGGACGAAACTTCGAACCCTCATCATGGCCCTTGTGGATTTATTCAATGTTAATACTATTTAGATCACTTGTGCTGTCATGCCTTGAGTACGGCTCATTACTTTTTTTCATTTTTAGAGCAGGAGAGACTTCTTAAATAGACGGGAATACAGAAAACATGTACAGGACACAGACACGATAAGGCACCTAAATTATTGGGACCATCTCAAAGCTCTCAAAATGTACTCTGGAGAGAAGACGACAGGTATCGAAATACAAGGGTACCTCAGCTTACAAATTTAATCCGTTCCCGAAGCTGGCTTGTAACCCAAAAATTCATAAACTGAAGTGAATTTCCCCACAAGAAATAATGGAAAATGAATTAATCTGTTCCAGACTCCCCAAAAAATTAACTTCAAAGTAAATTTTATACCTAATTCACCCAAATCTTCAGTACAAAAGTATGTACAAGTTATTACTTACCTTTACTGATGACTCCTGTTGGTGTATGGAAGACAGTGAGGAAGGAGGGGGGGGAGGAGGTGTTAGTGTTTGGAAGGGGAGTCCCCCTTACATTATAACATCAGGCAGTGGTGACGTCTCTGGGGTACACACACTGACACGTTTTGCCTGCATTCCACTAGGACCTGCTTGTGGCTCGCTGCTTGATTTTCTCACTAGAAATCGTTCCATTGAAGATTTTTTTCCCTTCTATGTAACAGTTATCTGTAGTGAGATATCACATTGTCATTAATAAGATCAATGCAATGGCCTGTTAAAGCTTTATCTGGGTGATTCTTTTCAGCAAAACTTTGCAGTTCTTTCCAAACTGCACATTTTCTTAATGAGAAAGGGACATCCTCTACTGCCACCTCGTCCTCCTCCTCCCCTGAAGATTTGTTGCACTGCCTAGCTAGTTCAACAACCCCTGTACCATTTTCATGTTTACGAATGATCTCTTGTTTTTCTTCTATGGTCATTCTCATGTGTGTTTTCTTGGCTTGAACCTTACCACTGCTTTCTTGGGACCCAGGGCAAGTTATATAATAACAAATTTTATGTTCAGATAGCCAAAACGCTGAAAAAAATGTAAATCTTTGCAAAGAATTCAGGCACGATAGTCACTAGGTGGCAGGCACTGGTAAACTGAGGCGCGATTGCCACGCCACCACGCTCTAGGTTGGCCCATATGCGTATCAACAAACTCGTTTTCCGAGGCAAAGTTCGTAACCTGATTCAAATTCTCCAAAGAAATTGGGCTCGTAACCCGAAAAGTTTATAAAGAGGGGCATTCGTAAGCCGAGGTGTCACTGTAATGTACACATGAAAGATACTGGCAGACCATGTCCCAAATTTGCACAGTAGAATAACAACATATTGCCGCAAAAGATATGGAGGGAAATACAAAATAAAACCAGAGAGGAGTAGAGGTGCCATAGGTACCATCAAAAAGCATTGTAATAACGTAAGAGATCCACGACTGTTCAATACTCTTCCAGCAAGCATTAAAAATATTTCTGTAACAAAAGTGGACTCCAAGAATCTGTTAGATAAATTCTTATAAGAAGTGCCAGACCAACTGGGTTGTAGTGGATATGTAGGCCTCATTTGGGCAGAGTTATCACAGCTTGATCCTGGCCCCAGGCCGGGCTCAGGGAGTAGAAAAAGTGTTAGAATCCTCCCCAGGATTCCCTCCCCAAGACCCTCAGGAAGTCACTGGGGCTGTACCAAAAAGAGGCATTTCATTACATACAATGTTGGGTTTTTCCCATACCTTTTTCTTTAAACTACTACTTGCATGTGAACATTAAAATAATTAACAGGGAGGTTAAAACATTTTGGTCATTTACTTATTTACATTTAATTCATAACTGAGGAAACAAAGCATGGAGGGAAGAGGGGGATGAGAAGTGTGGCCTGGCAATCTGTTCTTTTTCTTATTGTACTGCAATTTTAACTATTGACCACCATCAGAATTGCAGAATTTTCAAGAAAGTGCTTGATAGTACCACGATATTTGCTTTGTCAGAGTAATGAGCATCGTCCTATGTTATGTGAGTTGCCGAGTCTCATGCGTTTTGTCTGTCCAGGAAAATACTTTAGACTAGAGTTTTTTAAAATTGTGAATGGACGAGGCTGAGAAGGGTGTGCCCATTTTTCTTGTGTACCCTGCTCTTTCCTTAGAAGGAGCAGAGTACACAAAAATCACAAGATGTTTGTTATAAGTAAACCGCTGAAATGAGTAATGACTTTCCAGATATGCCTAAAGATAAACATCGCTCTTCCTCCAAAAGTAAAGCATATTGGCAGATCTCTGAATTTTTTGTTGCACTAAAAGATAATCCAAGTGCCGCAAGTATGCATACTTTTTTTTAAACAATTCTTCACTTGGTTTCATGGCATTGTAATAATTATCCAGAGATAGTCATCGTTTTGCAGTTATAATATATTTCTTATACTACCCTGTTTTTAGCACATGTAATATGCTAGCTCAGTCATCAGGGCCAGATTTATAAGAGGGCAAAGGGGGCAATTACCCAGGCTTCCAGACTTCCAATTGCCCAGACTTTCTTTATAAAAAAAAAAAATTTTAAAAATTTATTTTTTTAATAATAAAACTAAAGTCATGTAATTTAATTTCTATGTTGAGGGGGCCCTCCCCTGAATTTGAAGTGCCCCAGGTCCCTAGGTCTAAATCCGGCTTAATCAGTAGTACCTTGGTCACACTCGTGTAACAACTTGTATCTAGTAGGAAGATACTATTGTTCACAGTAGACATGTTTATTTAAATATTTAGTTTAATATTTTAATCATTATTGTTTATAGAACTTCTGGTAAGTTTCCTACAGCAGCTACATATTTAATATTCATTTAATGTTATGCATGGCAGTAAGAGGTAGTTGTTGTTCTTCAGGTTCTGGCAGGTCACACTAGCACAGTGGAGGTTCTAAAGGTGCTACGAGCCTTTGAAGACGAGACTGACTACACTGTGTGGTCTGCAGTGCACAATTGTGTGGCACACCTTAACCAGCTCCTTTCCCACACAGACTTCCACCCCAGCTTTGCAGCCTTTGTCAGGCAGCTCTTCTCAAAAATTGGCCAGAAGCTCGGCTGGGAAACAAAGCATGGGGAGAGTGAGTGTAGTTTTTATTTATTAACCTGATGATATATCTAATGCATTTCCAATTAACAATATTGTACAGTGGAACCTTTATATTGGTCTTAATCCACTCCTGATGAATATGAAAATACTTTTTCCCCTCTGAAACTTTGCAATAAGTTAATTTTTCAACGCATTGTGGTTTTCATAGCTTTCCTTTTAACTACACTTTATTGGGGTTATGGTCACTTCCTTTTACAAAGATAACTGCAAAGAATTGAAAACAAAAAATTGCAAGAAAAATTAGGAGATGCACACTTGATGACAGCACAAGGCTAACTGGGTGACGATCCTGTAACAGGTGGTGGGTGACGAATATGGAAAATGTTGACAAATATATAAGTACAGTATTTTTTTGTCATCAAAACATGACTGATATTGAATCTGACAAATGTAGGGACTGATAAATACAGCAGTTCCACTGTATCGTCCTTCACATGTACTCACCTAGTACTCGCCTAGTTGTGCTTGCGGGGGTTGAGCTCTGGCTCTTTGGTCTTGCCTCTCAACTGTCAATCAACTGATGTACAGGTTCCTGAGCCTATTGGGCTCTATCATATCTACACTTGAAACTGTGTATGGAGTCAGCCTCCACCACATCCCTTCCTAATGCATTCCATTTGTCAACTACTCTGACACTTAAAAAGTTCTTTCTAATATCTCTGTGGCTCGTTTGGGCACTCAATTTCCACCTGTGGCCCCTTGTGTTGAATAGCCTGTCTTTATCTACCCTATCAGTTCCTTTGAGAATCTTGTATGTGGTGATCATGTCTACCCCTCTTAACTCTTCTGTCTTCCAGTGACATGAGGTTTAATTCCCGTAGTCTCTCCTCGTGGCTCATACCTCTCAGTTCGGGTACTAGTCTGGTGGGGAAACCTTTGAACCTTTTCCAGTTTAGTCTTATCCTTGACTAGATATGGACTCCATGCTGGAGCTGCATACTCCAGGATTGGTCTGACATATGTAGTATACAAAATTCTGAATGATTCCTTACACAAGTTTCTAAAGGCTGTTCTTATGTTGCCTACCTGGATGTTAGTGTTAGCGTTTGGAAGAGGAGTCCCCTTCCATTATAACATCAAGCAGTGATGACATTTCTGGGGTACTCTCTTTTGTTTTGCAGGCAAACCACTAGGGCCTAGTTGTGGCTCACTGCTTGCTTCTCTTACTAACAATCTGTCTATACACACTTGTTTTTCCCTACGTTTTAGCACTTGTCTGTAATGAGACATTAAATTGTTTCACTATGAATAATCTCTTGTTTTTCCTCTATTGTCATCCTCACAACTATTTTCTTAGGTTGAACTTTATCACTGACTTTCTTGGAACCCATGGCATGATATATAATAAGAACTTTTATGTTCAGAAATCAAAAAAGCAGAAAAACAATAAAATTCTTAAAGAATTCAAGCGCAATCATCACTTGGCGGGAGACCCAGTAAACTGAAGCATGCCATGTGCTGTCAGCCCATATGTGTGTCTTGAGCACCAAGGCAAACTATGAGTACAGAGTCAAATTTTTCAAAGAAGTTGAGCTCGAGAACCCAAAAATTTAAAAACATGTGCATTCAAAAACCGAGGTTCCACTGTATTACATAATGTCAGCTGTTTATGTTAAAGTAATGTGTTCTTTTCAAAAGTATGAAATACTAACTATAAAAAATAATTGTTAGGAATTACTTGGGGAAATGCTCTGTACATTTTAGAACAATTTTAATTCAAAATATAAATATATTTTGTATTTTATAAATCTCAAATTTGGCTGCTTTAGTTGCATGTGCTTTTGATGAGCAAGCTGTGATTGTTGGTAGTTTCACATGTTTGTTATTGGCTATGACCTTCGATGAATCACTAGTTGTGCAGTGAATATGCTGGAATTCCTATACTCACAAATTAGTTTGTAAGGTGGGTTGTTTCTGGGGAGGTGTCCGAGCTTAGGTTGCATGATGAGATGGTGTTTTATAGAGTAGATTGCTAATGGTGTCAAAGTGGCTTGTTGGTGCTGTACTGTAGTCTGTGTATTCAGATTTTTGCTGTCAGTGTACACTAGTTTTTTTGTTTTGTTTTTAATTTTAGAGTTGGTAATACATTAGTATTAGTGTCTTGACTGTGGAGTACTGTCAGTTATAAAAATAAAAGCAATTTTCCTTTAACATTGTATAAATTAATATCGGTAGTTGATTGTGACCATCTGTTTTTATTATCTATTAATACTGCAGCTTGCTTCTACAGAGAACCTGGTTTGAATACAAAATTTTCTGTACTTCATCTTTACAACAGCACACTTGCAAACTCTGCTGCGTTCATTAGTTCTTGGCCAGCTGGGATTATATGGCGATGAGGCTGTTGTGGCAGAGGCCAAGAAGCGACTGGCAGCCCATGTGGCCAACACAAAAACCCTTCCTGCCGACCTCCGCTCGCCTGTCTACAAGACAGTCGTCTCTCAAGCTGATGAGAAAACATATGACCAGATGATTAAGGTTAGTCAAATATGTTGGTAATGTTTTTATTTTACTTGAATGATGGACCACTACTTTTAGCACTGCAATCGCCAAAGGATCTGAAAGTATTTTGAGTGTACTGTATGCCGTTCCCAAATATCTCGTGGATGTACTTTTGTTCGCAATATGTATAGATGGGAGCTTATATATATGTTTGTTATATATTTTTTCTTCTAAACCTGTTAATTTGTGTTCACTTATCATGGGAAAAATAATAATAAAATCGTAAGTGGCATATATTGCCCGCTATAGGGCGGGGAAGTCTGGCAAAAAACAGGCACTGGCTCAGAGTGCGTCCCAGGCAGTCTGTTGCTCGCCAGCTGTCAGGCCGTAATTGCCACAAAGAGATAATTACCTAATTATTTCAATGTCTCTGATTTTTCGTAGTTTTTTTGCTGTAATATTATTCAATAGTGTGTAGTGTGATATATTTATATAATAAAATGAGTGAATCATCGCTGTACTCAAAAATATGGTGTGCATATGGTTGATTCAATTATGTTCATCAAACAGTGAACAAATACTTTGTCAGTTATTACACTATATACACAGGTTATATATAAGTATCTGCACGTTTTGTTCACCATAACAAACCACTAAGTTGCTATTATGAGTCAAAAAGTAACGAGGAGTGACCGCCACACACCAGCCAGCCAGCCACTCCCTCCCTCCCTCAACACCTCACTCGCCCACATTCTCCTCCCACCATATTCAATCACCAGATGATTTCGGGGCTTTTTTAGTGTCCCCGCGGCCCGGTCCTCGACCAGGCCTCCACCCCCAGGAAGCAGCCCGTGACAGCTGACTAACACCCAGGTACCTATTTTACTGCTAGTTAATAGGGGAATAGGTGAAAGAAACTCTGCCCATTGTTTCTCGCCGGCGCCTGGGATCGAACCCAGGACCACAGGATCACAAGTCCCGCGTGCTGTCCGCTCGGCCGACCGGCTCCCCTCGGTTCTGAAAGTTCTGAAAGTTCAGGGTTCTGAAAGATTCCTTACATGAGTTTCTAAAGGCAGTTCTTATGTTGACCTTCTTATGTCTTATGTTTGTGTATTTGTGTAAAGTACTCTGGTGAAGCTGTTAACTATTATGGATTTTTCTACCTATAATGTTATTTTGTCATTAACATTGAAGAATTTTGCCTGGGCATGAAAATATTGTGTTCTTGGTATGGGTTAAAATTATCTAAAACACTGGTCTAGCCATCAAGCGAGAGAGTGGTGCATTAGCAACACACTCGCCCTACACCTCGTTAGCAATTTAGTCTGGGTACAAGTCCTAGCCAGAGGGGATTGTCTTGAGTACTCGCCTAATTGTGCTTGAGGGGGGTGAGCTCTGGCTCTTTGGTCCCGCCTCTCGACTGTCAGTCAACTGATGTACAGATTCCTGAGCCTATTGGGCTTGTCCACCCTGCAGTAATTGGGTGCCTGGTTGTGAACTGATTGGTGGGGTAATGTTCTAGGGAAAACTAAGTGAGTGAGGCCTACCATACACCATGGAAAGGGAAAGTCTTTCCCTCCCCTTTTTTTCCAGAAACTAGGCCATTCATGTTGGGATCATCAAAATTCTCTAGGTCAGTGGTTCCCAATCATTTGGTTACATTCTCCTTGGGGTCTTGAGTATTAGAAAATGGTTGGGAACCACTGCTCTTACTAAATAGGTGACCCAAGGTGAATGAAGTCATCTGTTTGCTATGAGAGTAGGTACATCAATGTGGAAAGAAATGTGAAATTTGGTTACATTTTTTTAATTGACCTGTGTACTTTGTCATCATATTTTGATTTTCATAACATGCATGGCTCTTGCTTTGCAGCTGTACCGTGAAGCCGACTTGCATGAAGAGAAGGACCGTATTTCCAGATCACTTGGAGCCACTCGAGACCCAAATCTAATTCAGCGTGTTCTCCAATTTGCCATGTCGGTGAGGCTTGAATAATGTTTTGGATCAAATAAATTAGGCTATGTGATGAGTATTATTAATGTAAAATGCATTGGATTCAAACATACTTTACATTGACATTTAAAACTCGATAATGCATTTGAGGTTTCAAGCTTTAAAGTATAAAGCGTGTTTGTGAAAGTTAAACAAATGTATTAATTAAACCTAATGTATTACAGAATGAAGTGAGGAATCAAGATACAATATTTGTCATTATTAGTGTTGCCATGACTGCTCCAGGTCGTTCTGCTGCCTGGTCATTTTTCAAGAAACATCATCAGGAACTAGTTGATAGATATGAGGTATGTATACAACTTGCCCATTAAAGTACATGTACTGTAGTGATATTAGGTACTGTACTTCTGCTGAAAGATTAATCAAACTAGTTTATTAACACTTAGACTATGGAACACAAAATATCACATTAAGCATTTGAAGTGTATGTACTGTGTGGCTTATAATACATGTTAAATATACAGGCAGCCAACTTAAGAGCAGCCTGGCTATGAAGTGTTACCTTTCCCTTCTATAGATAGCTCTGAAGGTCAACTAAGCTAATGGGGTAAAATAAGTAGAATTGAATGTAATGAAATGCCTTTTTAGTTCTGGTGGTTACCTGAAGCCATCTCACTGAGATGGCTTCCCATACTTAGTCTCATCAGCAATAAGACTCCTGTTGGCCTACCAGGAACTAGAATTTTCCCTTTTCCCCACTGCCCGAGATACAGAGCTGGGGACTAAAATGATCACCCACAAAGAAAGCATACAGAAAGTAAGTGAAGCAGTATAAATAACTGAAATGTTCACATAAATGAAGCCCCAAAACAGCCAACAGACTCCACAAACGGTTTACTCAAATCCAAATGGTCACTTGAAACTGATCTTGACCTCCTTGAGTGCACAGAGCTGCTAACAAGTCACAACCTGGGAGCTACCACTTCTGGGCTAGCAATGAGTCAGTCCAGAGCTAACATACCTGGTAAGGGGGTAGGGAGCAATGAAGCCAACAAGTCTCTACTAGAGTCATTTCATTTCATTTCCCTGTAGATGTTGTTTATGCATATATTAGTCAAAAGCCAAGGGTGACTCCCCTTAGCAAAGCCTAAAGTTACCCGTGAACGAGCACCAATTTGCACACTGCGGCCTAATGTGTATACTCGTTCAGTTTGATGACATCAATTTTCATGTTACGTCTTTCATTTTGGTATCAAATTGTTCGCAATATAAAGGCGCACATTTTAAAACTAGTCTCATAATAATAGAGCAATAAATGGAATTTTAACACGCACATTAATTTTAGACGCTCATCATCACAATTATTTATATCTTTGCATTGTTCTGACATAAATTTTTGTGTCACAGATTTCATTTTGTTATCAAATTGTTTGCAATCTAAAGGTGCGCATTTTAAAACTAGTCCCATAATGATAGCACAAATAGAATTTTACCAAATATTTTAAAATTTTGACCAAAAATGTATTTATCATAAATAATAATAATAATAAATAAATAAATTTTTATTCAGGAAAAGTACATATAGTTGATTTACAAAGATAAAGTTGAATTTATAAATAGAGCTAGTACATACAATACCTAAAGCCACTAGTACGTTAACCCCTTAACTGTGCGGCCTCCAAATATGACACCCCCCCAGTGCGCAGGAAATAAAATCTCTGGAAAAAATTCTTTTCTGTTTTTAAAGTGTCAAAAACCCTTCCCTGAGTAAGGGTATAGTAACAGAAGGTCGAAATTGTAAGTACTTTAGCTGCTATGGGGTCCGTAAGTTCGTGTGTGACGTCATCATTCCCTGGTCGCCCGTGGCATATGCCCCCGGGGCCGGTAGGGCGCTCGGGGCAGGATGTGCGAGTTGCCGCGAATATATTTTTGTTCATTTTCTGCGCACAGTTCCAAATACATTTTATATGCTTTTACGTGCCAATCCTATGTATAATGAACACGTACACTATACTGTTATGGTAGAACATCCGTACTGTCCGAAGACACTGTGTTACGTGCATGACACATGTGTACACATATCCGGCACATATTTCCATTGTATTATGCTAATTTATGTATATATACAGTCTATTTACACACTATACACTATCACACACTATATACATTCACCATGAACACACTCAGAACTCCGCGAGTGTCAGCTGCCTCACTCCTCCTCCAACATCCAGTCTCTCCCTCACTCCTCCAACATCTTACTCGCCAACATTGCTCCTACCACCATACTGTTATTGTTTGTATTACACTATTTGCACAAGTTATGTATACCTATCTGCATGTTTTATTCACCAGAACTATGCAAGTAAGCCGGTATTGTGTCCAAACGTTACAATGGCCACCATACAATGCATGATAAATCTCACAGCAGCTAGCAGACGACGCTACGATTACGTCACTTCCATCACCAAAATAGCTCCTCCCAATATACTCCTGTTGCTGTTACTACACTATATACACACATTGTATATACCCATGTACAAATGTGTTCACCATAGCGAACCACTAAGCTAGTATGACGAGCAAAACAAGAGTGGCTGCCACACAGTGAGGCTACCTCGATTCTCTCCCTCGCTCCCTCGCCACAATTACTCCTCCCACAATATTACGCACAGTGCTTATTATCACCACAATCCTGCTGTATTATATCACAATACTGGTCACTGAATCCTGTAAATTCATAATTGACCACAAGTTTATTTTGTAAAGGAAGCTAAGAAGTTGTTTGAAGATTCCTAGATGGACGAAATAATGCTGTGGTGCTGTGTCTAGCGCTGTGAACATCGTGAACAGCATTAAATCACTAATATTTGAACATTGTACACAGTCATTATCACACTCAGGCTCATCTGTAATACTATCAGCGCTAAATAATACAAGTTACATATATATTTTGATATTATTAGGCGATGCTGTGGTCACAAGCGGAACAGCAGTGCTGTGAGCTCATGCTGCGTGCGCCGGCCTTGGTTGCTCACTCACTACTGAGGCTCTCACACCCGGGAATGTGAACCACGATTTTTTTTAAAGATGGCGTCTGTTTACAAGAGCCCTGAGGAAGCTGATGTGAACCCCAGGTAGCCGCGGGAGTCTTGAATGGAACGTGAAAAATACAAATACCCGGAGGTGCGTAGCGCACCCCCAGACGTGGGCGTGCAGGTGCGTTGTGCAGTTAAAGGGTTAATGCTTGTGAAAGTTGAGGGTTGGTGAATGTGCAAGGTATGAGTGTGTGTTGATAATGAAGGAATTTTGCTTGTTAAGGCATCCCAATAGTATTAATATAGCGATTTGTAACTTGTCAATATTACCGGTATATCTAAAAAAATATTTTCAAGGTATTTTTTATTTTATTTATTAAATGCGCTTGGCTCAAAACATTAATTGTGCATTGGTAGATATTTTAAATTTAATTTTAGGGCTGGGATTCAAAATACTGTATTTACATGTTAAGCAGAAACTTTTTAAGATGTGTTGGATAAGTTAAGGTGTTTTTGCACCCAACCACTCTCCTGAGAGAATTTTGCATTTGTGCTCATTTGACTCAAAAGGCCCTAGTTACAATAGTCTGTCATATGGTGGCATTATCATCCAACCTTGTTTTAGTTATTAAAGAAAAACACTAATACCGGAAACATTATACACACAAACATATTAACATTTAGAGTGGATCTATGTACAAGAGAGTATAACATATGTTTGTGGACGTTTTGAAAGAACCAAATTTGTTTGAGGAAAGTGAGCTTGTAAAATGTGAGGTAAGTGAGCAGTTGGTTAATATAAGGATGAGGTTGCAGACGAGGAGTCATAATAATGTGGCTGAAATATATTGACTAAACCACACACTAGAAAGTGAAGGGATGACAACGTTTTGGTCCATCTTGGACCATTCTCAAGTCGATTGTGATGAGGGAAGGAGGTGAAGACAATAAATAGGCAAGAGAGGCGAGGAGGAAATCTTAGTGGAAGAAAAAGCAAGGCAAAAGGTACGAAAGGTAAGGTGTAATAAAGGTGATAGTAATAGGAATAAGAAAGGGATCGTAAGAGAAAACAAGGAAAAGAAAAAGAAAAAAAAAGATAAATGGAAGGGTAAGCTTATGTTAGGTCACATTTGTTAGAAAGGTTAGAGCAATTGAGTATATACTGTGAAAGGTTAGAGTCAACAGCAACAAAGCCAGGATTCAAGTTCATGTTGGGTATGTTGTCAACATGAACTTGAATCCTGGCTTTGTTGCTGTTGACTTCCCTTTCACAGTATATACTCAAATGCTCTAACCTTTCTAACAAATGTGACCTAACATAAGCTTACCCTTCCATTTATCTTTCTTTTTTTCTTTTTCTTAACCTTGTTTTCTCTTATGATCCCTTTCTTATTCCTATTACTATCATCTTTATTACACCTTACTTTTTATACCTTTTGCCTTGCTTTTTCTATCACTAACATTTCCTTCTC